ACTGTACTGTTTTCACCAAAAGCTTGCTTCAACATTTGGTGCGTTTCTGCAGCGGTTTTCCCAAGTTTGAAACAAAACTTTATACAGACATGCTGCTCTCTCAGGTCAGCCATCGCAAAACCGCAAACTCACGGAAACACAACAATGGAAATACGTTCACCAACAATAAACCCAACCACTCAACTTGACGTCGCTTGCCACACTGATTCAAGAAGGATGTGTGAGGAGACACCTAGCGGTATTTCGATGTACTCATAACCATTCGCACGCAAAATTCAAATTTCTGTAACTTTTGGATTGCCCCATGTAATACCCATTACAGACTTCTATTGGTCGTATTTTATGTATACTGTGAAATATTGATCTATTGAAATACAATAAATATGAATTTACATTTCCAAACCACTAGGAGACTATATCTTCGTGATTGTAAATAATTTAACTAAATATTTATATAGCTATGCACATTTTAATGGAATTAGTATAATCTGATTTACATAGAATGTCACATGGCCATATAGGAGGCCATGAAATTTTTTCAATCAGCAAGAGTGCATCTTTAGGATTTTGTGGTTTTATGTTGACATATTGGCTTGGCAACAGCTTTACCACTTTAAGTTTTATTATCGCATGCACAGTTCTGATTTTATAATAATCTGGTGTAAAAAGAAAGGTAAAGCTCTCCCTGTAACAGGCCATAAAGGTTCATAGGGTTGTGAGATGTTGAGGCTTCCACATTTTCTCTGGACAGTTGGCTCACAGATAGTGGTAAGGTTATCAGCCTTATGTGTCGGCTGCCCTTCACCCCTCAGGAAGATTCCTCATACTCACTTGACCTCAGGTCCATAGTGCAGCTGGAAGGATTAGGTAAATTGAAAAAAAAAAAAATCCACCTTATCGGGACTTGAGCACGCGACCTTCCAGCTTGTAGCATAGTGCCTCAACCAACTACGCTACTGCGTGCATCCTTGATTTTGCATATGTGCTAAAAAATTTTCTGCTTGTTGTATCAGGTACTGAAGTTGTAGTGAGAAGGAAGTAAGCGACCAGCTCCTTCCCAGCTCATTTTAATGTAATTTATGTTTAATGAATTAGTGAAAGAATAATCATGCAGTATAGTATTTATGCTGTTGATTAGCTCTGACAGCAATAGATTTTTATCTGGAATAAATTAACACAAAAATTCTGAGTTGAATTTTTGAGTACCTCTGTTATACATTAAAACTGTAGAAGAATTTCCAGATCCATATTAAAGTTCCTTTTATTTTATTTCAGGAATTTGTGTTTTGTACCATTTGGACATTCTTCTACCTTCTGGCAGCTTCATTGGCAGCTGCTAATGGTAGATATGATGAAGCTTTTGGAGCAGCTGCGGTAAGTAATGGTGTTTTCAAATGTGTTGAGAACACTCAGCCAAGGATGTGGAATGTATGGACTAGTTCTCTGTGTCCACCAAATGTTTTGTGTTTTTGAGATCTCTGATTCATTATTTGACCATAGTCTATCAAAGACATTTATACCATTATGTTTTCACTGCTAGGTTGAAGCTGGCTTAGGCAGTTTTTCTGAATATGCTTTAGTACAGTAAGCTTGTGGCCCACCATACCACATTGTTATATATTCATAAGCTATTATAATAATTTCTTTCCTCAAGTCTATTACTGTTATTCTCTTGCTCTGGAGGAGTTAAAATTGCGCACTACGTATTAGGAGGCATTGCCTGGATGCGCTCTCTTTCTTACTCAAGTTTACTTTGGCTTGAAATTGACCTTCTGCTGTGGAAGTTGTTGGTCTTCAAGTTCCTGCACGGTATATCAGAGACTTTGCATTGTTCAATGTCTGCTTCTCATGTAAAAATTGTCCCTCTGCTAGATGTGCATCAGCTGCTAATGTTGTTTGCAGGTATGCTGATGTGTTCGGAGCCAGAAATGTTCTCTTCAATCGTTTTTTTTTATAAAATATTATTATTAGGATGTTGTGTTAGCACACAGATAAGTAAAAATTAATTTAGTTATAGTTATTATTATTATTATTATTAATTTCTGTATGTGTATGTATGTGAATTGTCCTTTCTTGCCTCAAAATGACATAACCATTGGAAATCTACATATTTTATTTTTCTCACCTGTTAATGCTAACTTTAATTTTTCTTGGAATTGTTATTAATTTATTGCCATTATATAGACTTATATTTTGTGTATCTCTGTGTACTCATTATAACTTTATAATTGGCCTCTGTGCTGTTAAGTTTGCATGTAAATATGAACTGAATCATCATCATCTGTATTCTGTTGTGCTATTTATGTATATGTAGCCTTTCTTTCTGTTTTCCTTCTTGAAGGAATAAAGTAGGCTTAAGAAATTACTGTACTGTCAGTATGTGTTCCTTAATTTCAGCTTTTGAACCAACCACCAAACCACCCCACCAATTTCTATAAATTTTCATTTCATGCGTCCTGTTGTGTTACAATATACAACCTCTCTATTACAACCATCACAACCCAACTAATATCAAGATCAGTGCCTAGTTTTGGCTCTGCCACATGTTTCGGCTATTAATAGCCATCATCAGGCAAATACATGGATAACATATTGGAATATTCTATATTTTGTGCATATAAAAATTGTATAGGAGACTCGTGATGTAGATGTAATATTAATGCTAATTATTTAGTCGGTGCCTCATCTTACAAAGTATTGTCTGCTCTGTAGGGAATGTAAACAATTTGTCCATGGGAACACAACAAATCACAAAACCAACGACTGACTCGATGATGTAAAACATCAATCAAAGAACTTTATTCTTGTTTTATACTATAACTTCTGTTTTATGTAATCTAATTTATTGTATTTTTATATCAAGTATTTTTTATATTATTAATAATAATGTATCCAATTTTACTAGTACTGTGGTTCAGTGGTGTATATATGTTAACTGTGTATTTGCCTGATGATGGCTATTAATAGCCGAAACATGTAGCAGAGCCTAAACTAGGCACTGATCTTGATGTTAGTTGTGTTGTGACGGTTGAAATAGAGAGGTTGAATTTCTATAAAAATTAATATTAATGTTATACTGTTAGCTCCAATGTGGAGGTGAGTTAAAATACCTCAACTGTAGCACAGTGAGTCCTGGAAGATGACGAAGAGTGAACTTTATGTTTGAGGGTATAACTGGGCCACCCTGTCATAAATACAGAGACCTGGTCCTCCAGGTTGGGGTTTGGTTGCAAGGCTGTGCCTTTGCTCTGTAAAAAAATCATTGTTGTCAAATCCAAAGAAGTAGAACCAGATCAAATGTGGCAGAATCTTCTAAGGAAGGTTGTGGCTCAAAAAGGGCTGTTTTACCAGTGCCACTGCCGCTAGTAGAGGCCATTCAGAGTCATATTAGTTATTCCTTGGCTTCAGGGTTCTCTAAAAACCTTTCTCCCCTTTTTACAGCAGATGCCCATTCTTTTCTGTGCCTCTAAATCAGTGTTCCGCAACCTTTTTCTACTTGTGGCACACCATGAAGTATCCATGACTCAACACAGCACACCAAAATGTTATCCCCCTCAAAAACGCATGATATCAGACAATTAATATAAATACATAACGTGATCAACTTATTACTATTATATTGTTATTTTAGTATCATTAAACAGAAATCAACTCGTGCATTTATTAACAATTAATGAACTTCAATTCACTGTAGAGTGTAGAAAATGCACTTCTATTACTATTAAAGTAAATACAGTAATTCTACTCATACCTTCAGTGTGATACTTGCGCCTGCGTAGCTGCACACAGGCGACTGATCCGTGGTGGAATTGTATGTATGTATTCCAGTTGCAGAACACTGCTCTAAATACAGCCAAAAAGGAAACAAGTAGACTTCACAACAACACAGAATCTTAAAAAGCCAGAAAAGGGGGCATCACTGCATGGACCTCTGAGGACACCAAATAATACCCCAACTTTCCATTTTAGCGGAAGGAGCATAAGGACACAAACCACATTGGTTCAAGATCTTATATATTGGACATTAATAGGATTTTAAGTCAATTTATTTGTAAATAACGTTTTTTATATAATAGCTTCTAAGTATGTATTACATCGAACATTGTAATAGTAGTTTCTAAACAAGTTGGTCACATGTCTTCTGAAGCTGGTCACAGCTGACTGAAACATGTAAAGGCAGTAAATATATACAAATTAAATCACACAGGACGGAGTTATCAGTTATTCTGTAATTTAGTTTACTAGTGTGATGGACCAGAATGGATAAAGTTAAGTTTCTCTTTAATGCTTTCCCAAGACCTATTATTATTAGCCAAGTTTTCAGAAGCTCTGAACATGTTCGATATTTTAACATGATATTTTTTTGATATTTTTATATTTATTTTTTCTTAATTTCAGTTTTTTGGCTTTGTGGCAATGGTTGCGTATGGCTATGATGCATTCCTTAAGTTCAACGCTGTCCGTTCCGGTGCTCTAGCTCAAGGTGAGCGTGTTGTGACCAAATCTTCAAGTACAGTTACCTCACCAGCATACTGAATTGGAGCTGTTTCCTTCAGAACTCTCTTCAGTGACGCTGCTTTATCCCATTGTGTGGAATGGACAATTAATGTAAATAGTGTGGATCATGAGGACTTGCTAGAACACACACCAGTTGTACCTGGGAATCTAAGACAGGGATGAAGTGGTTAGTTTAATATGGATCACTTACTGAGCTTTGTTTGGTTGCCTTTTGATTTTTACATTGCCTAACTGAAAGGTGCACCAATTTCTTGATGTCTGAAAGATGTGTAATTTGTTTGGTTATAACATTATGTTAGATTCAAATATATTATATTGCTCATTGTCTGTAATGATATCTGTTGCCCCATAATTTATTTACCCTTTATTAGTATTTTATTATTTTTCAATACTGTCACCCCTGAATTCAAATCTGGCTGCCAGTGTGGGATTTAAATTTCAGTGTTCTCAGATGATGTAGTAAGCAGCATTTGTTGTACACATTCCTGTTGTAGGACAGTGGATTCTCATCATTTTCTGTTGGTTGCTCTCTCACGAAGGGATGTAAGTTTAGCAGTCACTTTTCTTTATGCATTACTTCAAGGAAAGTGTGGTTTGATGTAATCACCTATTTCAAAAGCATATCATGTTCTAATGAAGATTGCAGCACACCAGTTGAGAAGCATTGCAATAAGTAAGTGTAATTTTTAAGTGTATTTATTATCATGTGGAAGAATAACCCAGGCACACAGATTAGCGCTAAATGTTAATACCAGCAGGCATCTTGCTGATTCCAAATATGTATGTATAATAAAGAATAATGACTCCATTGACAAACAGACAATATTATTTTGTAACATATATTATTTCTTATTAACAGATAATTAGTAGCAGAAAGTTTTGCAAGTAACTTCAGGTATCCAGAATTTATTTATATAGGTGTATTACTAGTTATAGTTTGTTCAGGAAATGAGAATTTCCAGTGTAATAAGAAAATCTCTGTGAATCTTTTTATGGAGAACTGTTTTTCTTTTTTCTAATTTTAGTTCTAGAACTAATTTAAAGATCTGTCAAGCATTATAACTGTATAAAGGANGGGGTGGGGGGGGGGCGGGGGGAAGCACATATTAGAAGGTTGACTTGAATTTCTGTGATTTACGGACTGAACAACCACTTACTGTATGATTATGCAAAAAGCCAGTGCTTACATGAAAGAGGACATGTGTCCATGAGGATGAACTGTATGTATAATCCTGCAGTCTGATACCAGTATGAAGCATACTGACAATGTATTGCTACTGGTAAATGAGCCTGAGTGTGTTGCACTGCTGTTACTGCACTCTGCAGCAACAAATGTAGGGATTCTGGCATTCTTAATCACATAAATTTATGGATATTCTTATATGTTAATATCACATTGAAACTTTTGTTAATTTTGAATTTCTTGGCAGTCTATTCTGAAGGGGTGAGGCAAATAATTTACAAACATGGCTAATGAAACAAGAAATTCTGGGAAGAACTTATCACCTACTTTCCTTTGATATGACACAGACTGCATAGGCAATGGAAAAATGGGGGGATGCCCAGGGGGATACAGACACACAATAAGGTGATCTTATAATCCTCCCTTTATTTTTTTTTTTCAAACTAAGGAAAGTAGGCTAAAAATAAGGCTGTAGGATGTGATGGACACCATAAAGCATGCTGGGCAGAATGCTTCTCAACACATGTTTATATGGCAGTGTTTAATTATATTAATCGTATATTAATCTTTTATGACTCCAACATATAAAAATTAATGTATCTGTCATTAATAGGCAGACTGATTAACATCCACATGCATAATTGGAAGTGTATGTTGAATGCCACAGAATGTGTGAAAAGATATTTTAGAGCCCTTATAAAATGTACTTTGTTAGTGCACGTCTTATATGCTAGTTCGTCCAGTGAACAGTATGGATGGATACCTTTCACTCTTAAAGTTTCATCATTTGAACACTTTCTTTCTTTCTTTTTTGGAACTAAAATATTTATTTTCATTGGAAATGCTTTGTTCAGTTACATATCATCCTATATTTGCTTAGAACTATATGCAGTTACTTAAAACTACTGAAATAGTTAAGTAAATCTTGGATGTGTACTGTGTTGGGAAAATGTAGGTGTATCATTGTATAGTACCTGAATATGCAAAAGATTAATAGGCATCTCTTGAAGAAGAATAACTTAATATTTGAAATGTATAGAACTGAAACAGTATTTGATACTTCTGCATTTACAGAAAACAGTTCTGGTGATGATAACTGACAGGAAGTATGTATTGTACAGGAACTACGTAATTGTCCAGTCTCGAAATATGAATTGATATTAACTGACATTAGAATTTCAGAGAAACGTATATCTTTGTTACTGTATATGCTGATAATTTAAGTATGCTAATTAAGTACAACTTCGATATTTTACAAGTAATATTTGTTGTATTATAACAGTTTTGTTATTGTGTAATAAGTGATGTTACGATACATGACAATTTCCTGATACCACATTTTGTATATATGCTTGGTATGTGGTTTGCCATATGGTGTGCTTTAAATTTTAATCTCACAAGATGAATTATAGGGAAGAAAAGACTAGCTTCATTTCTCGCAAATAACAGTATGTTTCTTGTCTTTGTTCAATTTGATGTTATTGGATGTGTGCAGACATTTGTGTACACAGGTGTGTATAGTATTCTTGTTTATTATACCAGGTCAAAATATATCATTCCATTTATGACAAAATTGTATATGAATTTTAACTGTAGATAACGCATCAAACAGCTCTGAATAAGAAACATTTATATGTATTTTGTCATGTAACTTCAATACACCACATAAGTCTTGGCTATAAACAGCAGATGCATGACTGAAATGTAGAGAATTTTTGTATATCATATTATTTGGGAACACGTTTATTACAGAACATTTGTTTTTGTATGAAGTAATCACACAGAATATGAGTAACTTGGAGTAAAACAAAATTGAATTTTTACAGTGGTTTAGATAGATGTGATTTCATGATGAAGTCTTTATTTGCACTGAAATCCTTATGTAATTGTTTCTCTGAGGACAAATTTAAATGCTTGAGGAAGACCTTCAATAGGAAGAATTTAAATTGAGGAATGTGATATGGTTCTGTAACAGTTTAACCCTAAATTATGGTAACAGTTAAATTCAAATTTTATTTTTCTGAAGACCCAGTTAATTTTCTTCTTTGCTGTGCTTAATGCAGAGGAATGAAGGAAACGTTGACCACATCTTGTACTTATTATGTACTTCAGTACATAATAAAGTGCCACCATGAGTTTAATGGTACATTTTATGTTTTCATGGGATTGCAAATAAACAGAAAAGGCACTGCTCACACTCTGTGTGGCAGATTGAGGTTTGTGATTTCTTTCATATTGTCATATGTCGGCTGTGTGACACGACAAATAACTTCATGCCGGTCTTGGATCTAGTGAATTTATTGCACACTTGCTCTTGCACTTACACAATTCACAGTGTCACAATTACTGCCTCAACTCTCAACTTCAGCTGTCTTCGACGGATGCTGGAACTTCACTGTCACTGGCGGCTGCTGTATTTCAACTGTACTCGACGAGTGCTAGAATTCAACTGAACTCTTAAATCTGTCTTGATTCCATTCACTTGATACATCTTAACTTGGCGACTGCTAGACTTCAACTGAACTGTCTGGTGCATTGAACCCCCTTATTTAGGCCTCTCGCAGACCACACAGAAAACAGCCTATATTGTTGGATGTGTTTACCGACTGATTGCCTAGCAACGGTCGGTGCTTGGACTCCACTGTTGTGTGACGTCGCAGTCTAGCAGGGAGGGGTGTTTACTGAGTGTTGTGTAGTGAGGGGATGAGTGGGGATATGTGATGTCACTCGCACTTCCTGTTGTGCTATCCAAACATTCACAGAGTTGTCGCCTAGCAATGGGCTGATACAATCTGCAACTCTCCCATTGTGTATGTGCCCCAAGGCCTCTGTGGCTCAACAGTTCCTTCATAGAGCAAATACACCACATTATTGTCATGATTTATGGTGCATGACTATAGAGAGAGTTTTGGATTATTGTATTTATTGACCACTTAATAGGTCATTGTACAAACAACTGCAACACTTGCTATTTCCACATGTCACAATTCACTAGTGTCCTTGATCTATTACAGTCTCCACTATCCATTTCATTTTAACTGGCCAACAATATGAAGTAGTATTTTTTTTTTTTTTGTAATTTGCTCATTGTAATATGATTCCTCTCCTGAATGGCTCATTTTGTTTATGCCAAATTAAGGTTGAAGATTTACTACATTGAATGGAGTGGTAAGGAGAATTGTACAACGCTAATGCGGTTCAGTAGGATACTTCATATAAGCATTTCCTGATCTTTGAAAATTTTACAAACTTTATTTCATTGTGGTAATCACCATTCTCTTTGATGTATAAATCAGATGCCCCCTTTCAGAGCTAGCATGCACAACTATTCAGTGCTAATTAGCACTATTCTTCATAATACTGTCTTATGATTTTGCCAAGAGTTACCAGGTATATACATGAAGTGAATGCAGATCTCATCCAAGAGTGTAACAGATCTCTTGTTTGAGCCCAGTTTGTGTTTAGTGTATTTGCAACAGAAAGTCACAGATATTTTCCTGTTAGTCTGCCATGTCTGTTTATCCTCATTTATTGACTTGAAAACTGCTGAATGGATTTTCCTAAAATTAGATACTGGTTTTACTAAATTCAACCAGAGAACCCTGAATTAATGACGTCACTTGGAAAACCTGGGTGCAGACTTAAATGAATCTTAAGGAAACAGGTGAAGACAAAGTGGTCTGGGTTCACCTCACTCAGAATAGGAAACAGTGGTGAGCTTTTGTGAACATGGTACAGTATGTGCCAAAATGTGCAGTACTGAAACTCATGCATATCGAACGTGCATGTGTGTTTGTTGATGGGGCATGGCTCCAGCCGCACATGTTCCCAGTAGTGAAAAGGAAGTTGTGTTGTGCAGTTGTTGGAAATGGGTCTCTCAATGGAGGAAAAAGTATTCATAGTTGAGTATTATTTCCGCTGGTCGCCAGACAACTTGCTTCCTTGGTTTTGAGCGGCCAGATGTTATATTCTAGAACCGCTACAGAATACATGTGTGACGATATGATGTGCCGTCACAGCACACGGTATATTAGGCCCCTATTTCATTGAGGATGAGGAAGGCAATGCTCTTACCATCACCCACAAATACCCGGCGGAGGTCGTCGAATTTTTAAGGGCGGAAAAATTCAGGAACAAGTCCTCTGGGAGGGACTTTAAGCTGTGTGTCCCGTGTCGTAACTTTACGGCACGTAAAAGAACCTCATATCCCCAAAGGGGATCACTGAGCCAAATTCCAGGACATTTCCCGCCCAACAATAGTCTCTAAGGCCTCTGATAGATGGGGGAAGCATTATAGACACCGCTAAGCAAATGGCCGAACTCGCTTGCTCGGCGGGACTGATGGTACGCACCATTTATCGGTAGGGTATAGAGACTGGTAGAATATCATAGAGGGAAGCACAATAGATCAAACTGGTCGCGGTGCATGGGGAAACCCACCCTCTCTAAATAACTAACTACCATCACCCAAGAATGCTACAGGGACATGGTCATCGGACCATTTCTTCAGCATTTGAGAAGGTTCTGTTGTGCAAGGGGCCTTTACATGAATAGACAGTGGTATCAACAGGATGTCTTTTCAGTTCTGTACTGTAAATTTTGGCACATACTGTAATAAACCTAAGTTTATTAGTAAGCGTTCGATAAAATTCTAGGAATTTCTAGACTAGCTGAACGACTGTTGCCTTCCAAATAAGTGTACTGGTCATGGAATTACTTTAGTTAATGTTTGATGTGTTAACATTTTTCTTATTTTGCTTAACATGGCTTCTGATTTTTGGGCAGCTGCAGCAGCACGTTCTGTTGGGCATTTCAAATTTACACTTGACTTTTCTTCACAAACAAACCGTATAACTTAGATGTGTTTTTCTTTAATCTGAAGACACTGCCACAGATATTTTCAGTAGTATGTTAACTATAATGCACTGCAAGAAAAATTATTGACACACCATGCAAGTAGACACAACACAAGTAGGTAAAGCACTGACATAGGTGCTCACCTCTAGAACCTGTTTCCCTCCCCTCTCTGAGACTCTTAATTTGCATCCTTTTTTGCATTAAAGTTTAACATACTTTGAAGTGCAACAAGCCATATTCCTCTCCAATCACTACAGAATCACGTATCATCAGCATTGATATTATCAACTATCTTTTTTCATAAATGAATTATGATTAATCTGAAGATATAGGTATATGATTTCTTGAAGACTGATCTATCTGTAAGCTACAGTAATACAGCTGTCTTTCTGACATCATTCAGGAAAATGTTCTAGGCTAGAATGAAGAAAGAAATTTATGTACTTTTCAAAATATGAGATATTTCCTGTTTAGTGTAATTGTATTTTTAGAATCAGTCTGTGAATAATGCTGCTTGAATGAGTATGGGAGGAGTTCAAATGAAATGTGCAAATTTGGTTGGGTTCAAAGATTTGGGATCATAGTTGTGGATAAACACATTGCTTGCCTTAGAAAGTATTCTGCTTGTTCTTATTACATCATATATTATTATTACGTAATACAAATGGTTATGTTCCATGTACAGAAAAGCTGAAAAACTACTATGTTTTATTATTCAGTTTAATTACTGCAGACATGATAGAGTAGTTGGTCCTCTGCTTCATTTTTGGGATATATCGTATATGGACTGTAGGTTAGCTATTTGGTAGCCCTTGTTATGGTTTCCACATTCCCTCCAGGCAAAGGTCAGAATACCTCCTTAAGACAAGTCATGACAACTTTGACATCCTAATTCACTATTGACAAATTCTACCATATCATCTATTTAATGTAGGCAGTTGCAAAGTGTTAAACCAAAATCAATTACTCAATCTAATTACTCCATATTCTATGACACTCTCATTTGATATACTTTAAATTCATCCAAAATGTTAATTATTCACTGCCCAATTATTTAATTCTCTATCACAGTTTCCCACATGAAGAGTGCTTTTGAAATATTAATGGGTTAGAAACTGACATTTAAGTTTTATAATAAAATTGGATTCCTGAATTTTATTCTCATTTTCACAAAGAATAATCCGATGATCAGGAAATAAATGAAGTAGATTTGTCAGAGTAAGGTTGAAATTTGTAATGATAGACCTTACTGAGCTCAGTATACTGGCATTTAATATCAAACAGGTTAATAATGTTGTATTTTAGCATCCTGTTGCACTGATTCTCGTCCATGATATGTATGTATCGACTGTCTTCTAGTGCACACAATCTCACATGACACTTCACTACATGTTTCGGCATCACTGTGCCATCCTCAGGTGTATTATTCACGTTAAACTATTGTGCTGCTCGCCATCATATGTCGTTTATAAAATGATTTAAAATGTATATTCTTCATGTACTATAATAAGATTTATATATATTAAAATTTGTTAAGATTTATCATCTTATACGTCTTATTTCTAACTCGCGTATTATATTATTCTTCCACTATGGGAGTCGTTCTTCCTATATTTTGTGTATACTGTGTCTTGTGATGTGTCCTTCTTCTTTGGCTGCGTGCATTGTAATATATATATAAATTTTATTATAGTACATGAAGAATATACATTTTAAATCATTTTATAAATGACACATGATGGTGAGCAGTGCAATAGTGTAACATGAATAACACACCTGAGGATGGCACAGTGATGCCGAAACACGTAGTGAAGTGACATGTGAGTTGTGTGCACTAGAAGATGTTGAATACATACACGTACATATCATGGACGATCAAACAGGTTAGTTTAGAGGAGGTACTAGTTCTGAATCTCAGACAGGACATTGGCTATTCTGACTGAGGTGTTTCATGGTTTTCATCAGTCCAGGAAAATGCTGGGATGGTACCTTGATTATACCATGACATCTTCCTTCCAAATCCTTTCCAGTTGATCATTCATTAATCATTTGATCAAACTGTAGTATCAGGACTGGAAAGAATTGTATGTGTGTGCATGCATGTCAAGAGGGAGAGGGATGAGAGTTTCATGCAATATGTTCCATTCTGTTCTGTGATTTAAAAATATTTTCAGACAAATGACAATTAGACGTTCTGTTTCTGTGATTTAAAGATAGTCTCAGCCAAGTGACAATTGGGAGAGCTGGTTGCTGAAGAGGAATGCTCATTGTGAGAGGTTTTCCACTTACTTGAGAATCATTGTATGATGTATTCTTTCTGAATTGCTGTATGTAAATACTTCCATCTTGAGAGATCATTCATCATGCAGTTGTTCTGATTTAAATGGTGTTATCCTGGCTACTGAGTTAAATTATTCCTGTCAAGATGTGTTCGGAACTGAACCAAGCAGCAGTCATAAGCTGTTTGCAGTTTCATTTTCAGCTCTTAAGAATCTGAAAGTAAGTTCATGATTTGTGATTATCAAAATTAATTATATCTATCCTGTATTATATGTCTCATGCAAAGATCCTAAGGGTCTCAAAAGAAATTGATGTTACTTGAAATAAGAGAGTAGTAACCCCAGTCAGAAGTTCTGAGTAAAAGAGGTGACTGGTCATAGGAAATTAATATGAAATTATTTCCATAATGCAGATCAGTGTCTGAGTAAAATATGCAGCCTGTGAGAGAAGATGAATTGAATATCTTGTATGAAGGGAGAGACTGAATACACCAGAATCACGAAATGAGAAGTACGTTTTCCCAGTTGACAAGAGTATTTTAGGCTAAGTTATGAAGGACCTCAGCCATGTAATAAGTCACTAGCACAACTGGCACAAATATTTCTTCAACATTCAAAGGAATTTGACCGTTTGTTACATTTATATCCTATTTTCTCTCACTCTTGTTAAGAATATGTATTAGTTCTATCAGGACTTTTCATGGTGCATGAGGGGAAGAACCCAAAAGTAAGCTTACAAGTATACATTGAAGCTGCTGAAGACTACTTTTATGGAGTCAAAAAAATCGATCCAACTAGTGCCAAGGTCAAGAAAGCATGGGTCTATACATCCATTCCCACATAGGTCTTCATGGTGTAGCACTTAACTAATCAAATACAGGCCAAACTTTACATTTTACTGATATGTAGATGTGTATAAATGGGGTGAGGTGGGATTATGTGGGCCTTGATGCTTCAAATTGGAAAGGATTAAGTATAATTAGCTTTTATTTACATAATTGATGGGACTTGTCCTGTTGTCTTTGACTTGTGGGAACATTCCCACAGCGTCTGGCAGACAATAGTCACCCCTTTCAGACGGTGCCAAACAGGCAGCTGTGACAAGAGCGACACAGTATTTATACACACTCCAGCTTATATACTAACTGCAAAGCTGCACACATATTTATAAACTCACCTGTGGCCCCACCTTTCCGTACACGGCCAATGGATACACGCCGTGACAACTGCAACGTTAGGTCTGCCTCCCAGCCGGCAGTATTTAAGACCGGGAGCCAGCGGTACAAGCAATTCATTCCGGGACAGCAGCCCAGTCAGAGCTATGCCTGCAGCAAGAAAACATCGCAGCAGCAAGTCTACTAGCAGCTGCGCCGCAACTGGTTCAATCATCGGTTATCAGCACCCTCTGCAGCCATCATTGACTAGTCCCCCCCCCAGCTACAAGGGCTTCGACTAACTTCCCAACAAAGTGAGCGAACAGTGAGGGCGAATCAGTGAGAATAGGCAAATAGCAAGCGTGTGTGGTAACACTACTCGTAATAACGATCCCACAGACTATTACTATATCCACTGTTATTCCAGCCATGTAAGAATTCATGGAAAGNACATGTGAGTTGTGTGCACTAGAAGATGTTGAATACATACACGTACATATCATGGACGATCAAACAGGTTAGTTTAGAGGAGGTACTAGTTCTGAATCTCAGACAGGACATTGGCTATTCTGACTGAGGTGTTTCATGGTTTTCATCAGTCCAGGAAAATGCTGGGATGGTACCTTGATTATACCATGACATCTTCCTTCCAAATCCTTTCCAGTTGATCATTCATTAATCATTTGATCAAACTGTAGTATCAGGACTGGAAAGAATTGTATGTGTGTGCATGCATGTCAAGAGGGAGAGGGAAGAGAGTTTCATGCAATATGTTCCATTCTGTTCTGTGATTTAAAAATATTTTCAGACAAATGACAATTAGACGTTCTGTTTCTGTGATTTAAAGATAGTCTCAGCCAAGTGACAATTGGGAGAGCTGGTTGCTGAAGAGGAATGCTCATTGTGAGAGGTTTTCCACTTACTTGAGAATCATTGTATGATGTATTCTTTCTGAATTGCTGTATGTAAATACTTCCATCTTGAGAGATCATTCATCATGCAGTTGTTCTGATTTAAATGGTGTTATCCTGGCTACTGAGTTAAATTATTCCTGTCAAGATGTGTTCGGAACTGAACCAAGCAGCATTCATGAGCAGTTTGCAGTTTCATTTTCAGCTCTTAAGAATCTGAAAGTAAGTTCATGATTTGTGATTATCAAAATTAATTATATCTATCCTGTATTATATGTCTCATGCAAAGATCCTAAGGGTCTCAAAAGAAATTGATGTTACTTGAAATAAGAGAGTAGTAACCCCAGTCAGAAGTTCTGAGTAAAAGAGGTGACTGGTCATAGGAAATTAATATGAAATTATTTCCATAATGCAGATCAGTGTCTGAGTAAAATATGCAGCCTGTGAGAGAAGATGAATTGAATATCTTGTATGAAGGGAGAGACTGAATACACCAGAATCACGAAATGAGAAGTACGTTTTCCCAGTTGACAAGAGTATTTTAGGCTAAGTTATGAAGGACCTCAGCCATGTAATAAGTCACTAGCACAACTGGCACAAATATTTCTTCAACATTCAAAGGAATTTGACCGTTTGTTACATTTATATCCTATTTTCTCTCACTCTTGTTAAGAATATGTATTAGTTCTATCAGGACTTTTCATGGTGCATGAGGGGAAGAACCCAAAAGTAAGCTTACAAGTATACATTGAAGCTGCTGAAGACTACTTTTATGGAGTCAAAAAAATCGATCCAACTAGTGCCAAGGTCAAGAAAGCATGGGTCTATACATCCATTCCCACATAGGTCTTCATGGTGTAGCACTTAACTAATCAAATACAGGCCAAACTTTACATTTTACTGATATGTAGATGTGTATAAATGGGGTGAGGTGGGATTATGTGGGCCTTGATGCTTCAAATTGGAAAGGATTAAGTATAATTAGCTTTTATTTACATAATTGATGGGACTTGTCCTGTTGTCTTTGACTTGTGGGAACATTCCCACAGCGTCTGGCAGACAATAGTCACCCCTTTCAGACGGTGCCAAACAGGCAGCTGTGACAAGAGCGACACAGTATTTATACACACTCCAGCTTATATACTAACTGCAAAGCTGCACACATATTTATAAACTCACCTGTGGCCCCACCTTTCCGTACACGGCCAATGGATACACGCCGTGACAACTGCAACGTTAGGTCTGCCTCCCAGCCGGCAGTATTTAAGACCGGGAGCCAGCGGTACAAGCAATTCATTCCGGGACAGCAGCCCAGTCAGAGCTATGCCTGCAGCAAGAAAACATCGCAGCAGCAAGTCTACTAGCAGCTGCGCCGCAACTGGTTCAATCATCGGTTATCAGCACCCTCTGCAGCCATCATTGACTAGTCCCCCCCCCAGCTACAAGGGCTTCGACTAACTTCCCAACAAAGTGAGCGAACAGTGAGGGCGAATCAGTGAGAATAGGCAAATAGCAAGCGTGTGTGGTAACACTACTCGTAATAACGATCCCACAGACTATTACTATATCCACTGTTATTCCAGCCATGTAAGAATTCATGGAAAGTAAATGAATGAATGTCTGTTTTAGTACATGATGTAATGTAACACCTACACCATGTTTGTAATGTTTACTGATGAATTATTTCAAGGTTTTGAGAAATATGTAATACTCTTAGAGGGCTATGGTATGGGCAGGAAGAGTTGGATTATCCTGTACTACTGATTCTGCTAGAATGCTGTACCATAAAGTTTTTTGCAGTAAACATTTCTCTCAAAGTGATTTCACTGCAGCTGAAAGGAACATGTGTTGACCAAGGGAAAACACTGCGTTGCCCACTCAGTGACAACAGTCCCCATATAGAGCACTGGAAAAAGGCAAGTATAGGGATAAACAGTTGGATCTTCGTCAAGAATGGTAAACCTGCCTTCCTTCATCCTCCTCCTTCACAGAATGGATGGCTAGTTGACATCACTGCTGCCCAGCATGTGTGGAGGACAATGAAAGAGGTTGGTTTCAGTGCCTTCACACTCAAAACCTGAATCAGGATCCCCTTGAGAACACATTTGGGGCTATTCGTTAGTGCTGTGGTTCTAACAATAACCCAACTGTGGGACAGTTTGTAGATGCCCTGAAGACTAGCATCATCAATGACCTTGCTTTTAAAGGACTGGGGGGAACTAATTGTGAGGACGATGGTGCTACTCTTTTGGACAACCTACAATTGTTTCTCAGGGAACCTGATGCTGCTTCACGAAATCTATTCACAATTCATGACAAGGAAACCCCTGCTGGTGTGCCTCAGAGTTTCCATGTTGCTCAGGAAGTACAGATGGACATGAGTCCTGCAGTACCTGCTGGTGACATGGAAGTGTTTTCAGTAGCCTATGTCAGTGGTTCTATTTGCCAGACAGGTGCTTTGAGTTGTCAGCTGTGATGCATGCAAGACATGCCTGACATCTGAAGTGCTGCTATCAGCCAATGTCTTCATATATTTCAAGGAGTGCAGTGATACAGAACAGTTTCTCACATATCCTTCTGAGAAGCTGGTGGAGACTGTTGGTACTGCTGTAACTCTGATGGAGTCTATAATGACAGAGGCTGTCCACTTGAATTCAGTGGAGCAGCATATCACAGCTGCCATCAAGAGCACCATTTACTTTGAGTGGATTAGGTGTACTGACTGTTCACTTCACCACCAACGAATAGTAGATGGTACTGTGAGATGTCTCACAAGAATTTACATTCCTTGGTAGTGTAAGCGAACAAACAGGTTGATGACTGAAGCAGCCAGGCAGAGGGCCACAGAGAGGAAGATGAAGATACTGACTCATCAGTAAGTCATTAGGAAAGTAATGCTTCATTTTCCCTTATAATGTCCTGCCCATTCCAACCTTGGAAATTGACAGAAGTTATGGAATTACTGGAAGAATATGTGTGCCAAATAGTCACGTGAGCATCATTAGATGTTTCGTACGTTGGAGAAAGTATCCCTGGTGACAAGCAGTTGCAGTGCAGCAACAGAAACTACTGTGGAGTGAATGATCACATTGTCATCCACAGTTCGATTACATACAAGAAACCTACTTTTAACTTGAGCTCCATCTCTTTCCCTCTTTGCAAACATGTTTCCTTCGTCTCAGAACATTAGAACTTCACTGGGTCAGAGTTCATTCTGGCTTTTATCTTCAAGTAATTATATTCCAATCGAGAATTGTGTGGGAAATAGTTTTCTGACACACATGGGTCTTGTTTATGTGTAGGTAAGAATGAAGAAACATTACTTTATAATTGCTTGCTAGTTCAGGTTATCCACCTCAGTGTGAAACTCTGAGAAGCAGAATCAGTATCAGGATTGAATGTGAGTAGGACTATTTATGCAATTTCTTTACCTGTTTCATTTTTGTTACATTGTTATTCACTTTTGTTGTTATAGGTGTATTTCTTCTCTTACTTTTGCCATATAATCCTACCTGTACTGAACTGGTGAACACAAACATAAGATTTTCAATAGGAATTGCATTTCTTTAAAATATATTATTAATTTTTGCTATATAATCATATCCGATACTGAACTGGAAGATGAATAGATACCAGATTTTCAGTATTCATTACATTTTTTTGTAAGATTTGTTACTTTTGCCATATAAACCTTTCCATTACTGAACTGGAATATGAATAGATACCAGATTTTCAGTATTCATTATATTTCTTTAAGATATATCGTTATTTCTGCCATATTATTCTGCCCAGTACTGAACTGGTGAAGATGAATATATTAGATTTTCTTATATCTTAAAATTCAATCTTAATCTTGTTGACAAGAGTGTATTTCAATTCTCGAATTCCATCATTCTAATGAAAATAATAATAAATGAGAACATGAATATTGTTGTTTACAATATATGATTTATAATACTTAAATGTAACCGAAAACTATGTTCTGTATGGCTTTCAAGTGTAAGTTATGAGGAAATTATGAGGTTAATATATGTATCTCTGAGGGAAACAGAATTTTCTTTCAAGATTCCCCAGCTTCAGCTTTCCTAAATACAAGTATTCCATGTATGTTACAGTTCACAATATTCAGTGCCTTTGGTTAAAGAGGTGTTTCATGTGAAAGAAAAGTTATGACATTCCAGGCACTGGTGAGAAACTTTTTCCAGATAAATAATTTGCAACCTAATATCTTGTACTCCAGAGCTGCAGAGGCTCTTATTCCTTTGTTGTTTTTTTTTGGAAAGGGGACGGGGAACCAAGTTTAATAACACTTCACTCAAATCCAACCCAAAGGATATGGGTGAAGTGATATTGAACTTACTTATGGAGCAGAGGCCTTCTTGAGAAGCCGCCAATTGTGAAGCCACTCAATAAATTTCCAACCTTTTATGGAACCCGAAGGTTCATTACTGTGTTCACAAGAGCCCTCCAGTGGTCCCTATCCTGAGCCAGATCAATCCAATCCATACCATCCCATCCTATCTCTGTTTAAGATACATTTTAATATTTTCCACCCACCTACACCTTGGTCTTCCCAGTAGTCTCTTTCCTTCTGGCTTTCCCACCAATATCCTATATGCATTCCGCGCCTCCCCCATTCGTGCTACATGCCCTGCCAACCTCATCCTCCTCGACTAGTGATATTGAACACAGTTCAAAAATGGAAATAGGTTGGTGGGGAAATAAATACTTTTACAACTCTTGTACTGCAGAATACAAGAGATCTGGTTGTAAAAGTATTTGTTGCTAGTAGCGAAAAAAGCATGGGTAAGAGGGGCGAGGGCGGGAGCACTCAAAATAGTTGCTAAGTTAGCATACCTTCTTACCGATTGTGTTCTCGGCCCTGTCGTCCATTTTAAATTTATTTCATTAGGGTGCGTAGAGATGGTAGGAGCATTGCACCGAGATGTCATGGCGGCCATGTTACCACCCAATAACATGGGCGTTTCACGGGGCTGCTCACAGACGTGCATGGCACAAGGAATTTAAATACTCTCAGGGCAAGGTACGTTTTTATCTCAGACTACATGATCCGACATCCGTTAGGAGTGGGCGCATTGTATCATTGAGGATCATTGAGCAAGGATATCGGAGACGTATAGCTGTTGGGTGGAAGAATAGGAAATTGGGAATTTGGGAAAGTGGGGAACGTGTGTAGGGGACCTAGAGCACCTAGAGGACGGTAGAGGATTTGATTTAAGTGATCTGAATCGTCTGAGTGTAGTGCGGTTTTCTTCTTTTTGTGCGTCATGCTGAGTAATTGATAAGTCAGTGTGTAATTGACAGCAAGCCAAATGGCAGCCGCGATCATAAAAGTTTCTGAATGAGAATGGGCCAGAACTCCAGTGTTCCTACTGGAGTCCAAAGTGGAAGGAGAAAATCATTACGGGAATCATGGAGGTCACCGTTCCTACGGAGATCACGAATACATCAAAGCTCCTTAAGTGCTACTTTCAATTTTATTGATGTTGATATGAAGGTAAGGAATTTGGCAATAAGTCTACCAAGATTAACAGATTAGCAGTTGGAAGAGGCGGCAATAACCAGACCTCCGTTTGAATCATATATGTTAAACGAGTTAGATTATACAGTATAGGTTATATTGGATGCAGTGCAGAATATCATTTTTTGGAAATAATCTGGTTCCCATGCAGTTATCAGATTTGTATATTTCTGGTTGTAATACAGATTAAATTGTGTCCCAGTAATTTTAAGGTATTCATTCATTCATTCTTTTATTAATCCTGTAGATCATGATACAATGATATAGGACAAGTCTTTCAGCTAATAATTAATAATAATAATACATTATTAAATTACAACAATCTTTATACTAAAAAATTATATAAGATGTACAACATTTTATACTTTATATGCTGTATACTTCTGCTTATATCAGTAGCCAATATTCGAGAATTCATCGTTCAAATAGTCCTCCGTTTAGTAATAGCACCTCTGAACAAGTAACTTCTTCAATTCCCTTACGAACTGATTTTTGTTTTCTATTACTTTTATGTTGTTAGGCAATTTGTATACTGTTGGTATCCTAAGATTTCTAAAGCTATCCCTGCATGATTCCAAATGTGTTAGCCCTGCAATGTACCTTACTGCCCTTTTTTGGAGTACAAAAATTATTCTAGTGAGGGTTTTAGCACTATGTCCCCATACTATTATTACATAAGATAGATGAGGATAGATCAAACCGAAATACAACATTCTTCTTTCATTAAAATCAAGTATTTTAGATAGCCTGTTAATTATGAACATGTTACGGCTAATTCTACTGCAGGTTTTTTCAATATGTAATTCCCAGCTCAAGGTACTATCTGTTACTACCCCAAGGAAATTTGTGCTTTTTACATTTGATATTTCCCTGTTCTTTATTAGGATTTTTAGGTTACTTTCCTGCCTGCATTGTTTTTCTGGAAGAGAATATAGTGAGTTTTAGATGGATTTATAAATAAATGATTTGTCTCAAAGTATTGTTCTACCACTCCTATATAATTTGAAGTCGTGTTTTGGAGCTCATTCATATCTTGTCCTACATTCAGTATTGATGTGTCATCAGCATACATTATTGATCTGCCTTGTGTTAGATGTGGGATATCGTTTATATACAAGATGAAGAGTAATGGGCCAAGGACCAATCCCTGGGGGACTCCGTATCTCACTGGGAGGCTACTTGACAAATATTCTTTCATACAATTGCCTTCTGTGTGTGTTACTTTTACGTGTTGAGTTCTGTTTCTGAGATAGGATTTGATTAGCTTATGTGGTATACCACGGACTCCATGTTTGTATAATTTATCCCTAAGAATTTTATGTCGAATACAGTCAAAGGCTTTTGATAAGTCTAATAGTACACAGTTGCATTTGATTTTATCATTCAAACTTTCTATTATGATTTCAGTAATTGTGGCAGTTGCATCGTTAGTAGATTCATTTTTCCTAAATGCTACTTGCATTCCTTGAAAATGTGATGGTTGCATTGGACTGCAGCTTTGTATGCGTTGTCTCCACTATTTCCTGTTACATACCTAGCTTATTATAGTCTCCTTGATTTCACCATCTTAGCAGTGTAGGGTGACCTGTATAAATAATAAATTAGTAAAATCTTGTCTTTGCTTTCCTGGCCATGTGCACCTGCCTACCAAAGCATAGAAGCTGCTTCACATGAGGATGTTACTCTAGAATGAGCTCTAGCAGTGATGTATGCATTGTTCTTTATGCTGTTTTGTGGGCAACACAAATGGATTCATACAGAGGATAGCAAAATTTTGATCTCTGAAACCACTCGTGTAACTGTGACATCCTTTCCTAAGCTTCATTGGGAGGGAGGAGATTATGTTTGTACAGCTTTGTATCAGTCATGTTTTTCTTATACACAGACATTTGTTGTGTGTAGAGTAAGCATATGTTTGTACATACTGTAGGGAACTCCTTAATGTTCCATATATTTGCAAATGCATATTTTATGATTAAGGCTGCTATATTATCACCTTGGTGCACTATGCATGACATCCCCGGAGACAGTTTCTGTAACGTGTCAAATGTACTGCCAGGTGATAAAGAAATAGGTCTCACCAAGTCATAAGTGATGTAATTTTAATACTTGAACTTCCAGGATCTCAGAAATGTCTGTGTTTGCATTGTTTTAATAGCCCTCTTTTTGAACATTAATGAACTACCTTACCACCATCTTTCAGCTGATTGTCTAGATAATGTGGGACCCTCAACGTCTCAATCCTATGGGCCTTCAAGGCATGATACAGGGATAGCTTTACTTTTTTACTTTTATGAAAGGTCACTATACAGCTGGGTATCTTTGGATCCCTTTTATCATATGGCAAGACTCAAAACAACCATGTGAAGTTTTACATCGATTTTGATCTCTCACTCTTCTATAATCTGAGTTCATATAGTCATATAACAACGTGTTGGATGATGGACTGGTATATGAATTTTAGGCAGGTGCTTACAGCCTTTTATGCTGAGATACCTATTACATTACATTACATTACATTGCATTGCATTCCATGGATCCAAAGTTAGTCAAAATGACTGTAGGATGTGGAATATGTCATATAAATAAAAAACATACGTACAGACCCAAACAGTTCTCACACAAGAGAAACCAAGAATACACAGTGACTACACACAAGGCTATTTAAAGATACATAAGTTATTTTTTAGACAATAGATATTCATCAACAGAGTAGAATGAATGTGTATTTAAGTATTGTTTCAGTGCTAATTTAAATCGTGTCTTTTCATTCATAAGACCTTTGAGATCAGATGGCAGATTATTAAAAATGTTGATCCCATCGTAATATGCGCTTTTCTGAAAGAGGTTAGCAATTTGTTTATGAACCCACACACATGCACATGCTCGCACACCATGGAATTGTGTGGAGGATAAATTATTCAGAATCAAAAACAATAATTCTTATATATGGCATATCAAGCTATTGAAGCTGAACCAAGGTTAGCTTTGTAGGATTTGAGGTACTCATGGTGGTGGTTATGAAGAGTTCTTTCTTCTGGGTTATAACGCCATGCAGTCCGTTGACAGTCAGCTGACGTTTTGGCAGAACATGCTGCTGTTACCGTCATTCATTGTGGATAGTAAATATTTAAAAAAAAAATTATAGATATATGCAACATAAACACAAAACCTAACCCTGACCACTACATGCTACATACTACGTTCTACCCTCACCAGATATCAAATAGGAGTGTATAGGAATCAGATTTTTCAGTAATCTTCTATCTGTAATTAAATGTTTAAACATGATGCAAGAATATTTAAGCCACATTGAATCTCTTATCTTATTCCTACACAGGAGATTAATGTAGATAACCTGAACATTTCAACAGTCAATTCAAATGCAGCTCTTTGTTATGCAACTCTTGTTTTTGCCAGTGAGTGGATAAGAAACATGTCTGTCTGACAAAAGTGTGGTTAATCCCCTGTAAAAAAAAATTGAACTTGTGCTGAATTAATTAAGCACCATACCATGATGACATATAGGTGAGTGGAGGTATAACACCACCATTCTTGACCTTGTCACTAGATGACTAGATGACAGATCCAGACTGGACATTGTGGACAAGAGAAAATCTTGCCCCTTCCAGGATTCAAACCTTGGCTGTCCAGCTTGTAGCGCAACTTTTTTTTTATTGCTAATGGGGTGGGACTAAGTCCCTTGTACTGCAGCCATTTCTGGCCCATTGTATGAGCCCCAGATGATAGGTGAGGGTGATTGTGGATCAATTGGTGGAATGAAGATTGGCAGGGGAAACCGAAGTACTCTGAGAAAACCTGCCCCAGTGCCACTTTGTTCACCACAAATCCCACTTGACCAGACCCGGCATCGAACCTGGGCCGCCGTGGTGGGAAGCCAGCGACTAGCCACTTGAGCTATGATGTGGCCCTTGTAGCCCACCATTATACCAACTGAGCTATCCTGACTCCTGGTTAATATTCCATACAGTCCTCAACTGCAGTGTGCTCGTATTTCTGTGGTGGAGTGCTGAATAACAGAGTTTTGAGATGAAACCACTATCATATGCTGCTGAGACAACTTCCCATGTGACTACCATGTATAACAGTAATATTTTCTGCAGTACCTCCTCCATAACATGAAGGTTTTGAGAATATTATAAAGGGTTTTCCCTGCCATTAAGTGTGGAGCGATTAGGCGGAGAAGCATCTCATGACCTGAGAAAGAAACGTAGGTCATTCGGCAGAATGATACCATCATTCTCATAATGCGATGTAGAGTGCTGAAAGCAGGGTTCTTGATTATTGATTATGCTAGGCATCAGGGCATCTGCAGACTGTACTACAGTCAGGTTATCATTTGAACCACAGTACAAACTAAATAGCAACAGATATGTTCTTGAGGGAATCGTGATTCAGGTTTCATAGCAGTTATATCCTGCCTTTTTCACAATCTTGAACACATGTTGGGAAACAGCAGTGTCAGTAAGGTGCCCATTCTGCAAAGGATGGGGTCAAATTAAGGTGGGTTTACCATCCTCATGGAAAATCCACCTGTTCATCTCCACATAGTCAGGTATTTGCTACAGCTCCCTTGTGAAAGAACCATTAAAAATGAGCTGACTTCTCGTATAATTCTCTGTCATGTTTGTTTAAATTAGAAAATAATACATGCTGCATGGGGATTGTTAATTGCTGAAGTATTTTTGTACTTTTTATTATGTTATTACAATGAAGTTTTAACCATCTTATTCTGTCTCATAGATCATAATCTTGAATGTGTTCTACATTCTTAACTCAATTATTTCAAGTACCCAAAGTATAATATTATCATTTCTGTCATATCATACATCACTTATATGTTGATCTACAGCATTAATGAAGAGTAGTAAGTGACGATGTTTTGCGTATCACAGCTGGGTTCTGGGAATGGCTTGGGAAAGTTCACCTAATTTATTTTCATTAACCAATTTTTTTTATAGTAATTGTGATTGATTGAATGCAGTTCAGTGGTCTTACGTGCAGCCACCACAAAAGAGTACTGAGGCCTGCTGCTGCAGTGATTATGCAACACTACAAATGAAGCCATTACGTCATGAATAAAATACAAGAGACATAACATGCTGAATTCATGGGAATGTGGAAGAATTTCTGCTGTTTGACTATGGATAGATTTGCAGCCATAGGCAGATCACTCTTTGTAGGGCCAAAGAAGCAACGCAAGGATCACAATGAAACACGATGGTGCACATGTACATTTAAATTTGTATATTAGAAACTCAAGTTTAACAGTGATATCAATTCCAGATCAAATGTTATCGTCCAGCAGAGAGCAGTGAAACAATTTTTAAATGATTCTCAATTATGTAGATTTTTTCTTAAATTATAGATATGTCCAGTACAACATTTTTCAGGTCATGGACAAAATTGGGTGTGTGAAATAATGGTTCAGATGACCAGTGCTCTTGAAGGTTTCATGAATAGTAGGAATGACTTGCATATACTTAGTTCAAGTAATTAACTGTAAATGCCTTTAGATGTCACTACTGTGTTTTTCCTCCATAAGATACTTGGCTGAGGGTGGGGCGTGCTTGCTTGTTTGTTATGCCTGGCAGTGTTTGCCAAAACTTTAAAAGAAGGATAAACATAATGTTGGTTCATAATTTCAAATTTTAATTTTTAGGCAGTGGAACAATAGTCCACTGTAATTATTATTTTTCCTAATAGATAACACAGTTGTTCTTACTGTTTAAAATTTCATCTTTCTAAATGCAATCCCACAGTTCTTTTTATTTAAAGACAGAGGCTTGTGTAGAGGTCATAACTCCCAGACTGTTGCAAATGTACCGTGTTTGGTATATAATGCGACAAATAACTTCACACCGTATTTGATATAGCGAATTTATTGCACATTCGCTCTTACAATCACACAAATTACAATCTGACATTTATTGCCATCGGCAGTGTCACAAATACTTCACTGCAAATGCTGGTTGACTGCCTGGCTGACTCGTAACTTGAGAACTTGAGAACTCAGAACTAACTGCTGGCTAACTCGGAACTAACTGTGAATAGTCTTCGCTGCTCCTTATGTAGCCTCGTTCCGGACAACACAGAAAACAACCATGTATTAGGTGCCACTGTTGCTACCGTGTTTACTGGTGTTACTGGTAACGCTGTCGGGAGTTGTCTCTTGCAACCACTGTTTACCCGCATTGCATAGCGACCAGTGTGTCAGGACTCAGCTCACTTTGGCTCCGCTCGGCACGTCACCGCTGCCGGTGGGGGAGTGGTGTCCTGCATAGCGCAACACGTCACAGTATGTGTTAACATTGCACCAGTAGGTTCCTTGAGAAAAACTTGTTGTGTACCAAATTCTTTGTTTCTGCCTTTTTCAATAAATGAGATATGTGCATGAAGAGTGCTGTCTTCTGGGATATAATACCATGTAGTCCACTGGAAGTCAACGGACATTTCAGAGGAACATACCGCCTCCAGCTTCTGGGTCGAATAAGCCAAGCAAGGTACCAGTTTGAAAGCAGGTGGCAAGCCACTCACACTACACGGCATTATATCCCTCTTGAATCCTAAGAGATATTTACATATTTGAAAAAATGGTCTGCATGCTAGAAACTGCGTAACTTTATTAATTAATGTCTAAGAGTTTAATAATAAAAAAATTGAAACTTTGGGAAAGCGTTTGCTTTATACATACCTACTGGTAAAATAAAAACTACAGGAATTTGTGATAGTGTGTTTGAAACTGAATTCAGTTTTGTTTGATTTCCTATGGAATGACACTGTTATGTAATATTTTAAGTGTGGACTTATTTGTACCTGTGTGCATGGCAATATCTGTAATATGACAAGATTTATGACAGTATGTTTGGATGTGCAATAAATGAACACTGGAAGTCCAATGAATTGTGCAAAATAGCAAAGAATTAATTTGGAAAATATTGACAGTTGACCGGTTGTAACCTGAATTTTGTGTTACAGGTGGATCAGCTGAATGTTAACACGGCCAGTGAAGAAGAGTTAATGACACTTGCAGGAATTACTCGAAACATTGCGCAGAATATTGTCGAGTACCGTCAAGCTATAGGAAGATTTAAAAAAGTTGAGGATCTGGCACTTGTGTCGGGCATTGGTGCTGATAAACTAGATCTGATTAGACCAGAGATATGCGTCAGCCGCCGTAAAAATGCCAGGTAAATCTGGTCTCTGTGACCATTGTGAGATTGTGAAGTAATCAAGAACTCACATTTGTTGTTGGGAAGTAATGTGACTCATCAGTATCTCCTTGAGCTTTGCACCTTTATGATAGCATTTTTAAACCTTTATTTGTACTTAAACCAAAATCTCACAGTATGCTTAAACATACTGTACCACCTGTGTTAGTTCTCTGTATTTGGACAGTAATCAGATCTGGAATATAATAGACATGAAATTGGCTGTTGGCTCCAAGGTGCTATGTCAGCATTTGGAGGGACTAAATAAAATTGTGACAAAGCTCTCTCAGGTTGTCTGGTCTCCATGTAGAGATATGAAGTTGGGACTTTCGGAATATGAAACAGCAACTGTAACCACTCTACAGTGTGTCAAATACCATCAGGCATAGAGTCAGTCCATATTAATTCACGGGATTCAACTGAAGAGTAATGCTCATTTTGTTAGCCCCTGTAAAATTAAAATTATAAATAGGTCATCATCAACCACTCCATTTAATTTACTTACCATGTTTATGGTTTATTTAAAACTGCTGTTAGCATCTCGGGCAATGTGGTATCAAGTACATACTAGGATGATGCACAAATTGGAAAGAATGTACAAGGAAGTGGTTGTGGCCTGACTTGAGATACTGCTCTGGAATTTGCCTGGAGAAACTGAGAAAAACCACAAAAAATCTCAGTCAGGGTAATTGGTGTCCCATCCAAGATTCAGATCAGGCATCTTCCAAGTACAAGACAGAAAAGCATCACCATTTGATCATCCTGTCTAGTGGTTGGGTGTAGTTGGCCTGTTAAGGTATTATAAAATAGGAATTTCATCTATTAAGGGGTTCCCCAGAATTTCCTAAATGCTTTTCTTTGGTTTGGTAAGCCAGTTATTTTTTGGGATTGTATCACAGCTCATTCTTACAACATGTTTTGAGCATCACTAATAATTAGACTATAGATTTTATTAAAATCATATCACACACCCTCACATTACAATCAAACACTATATTAAAGCCTCAAGTTTGATGTCATATTAAGCTTTTCTTATCTGGAGTGGTTCTGTAGACTCAAGATTCTTCTCTTTCAGTCATGTCCAGACCATTTCTGAGGCTTGTCTAGCTTTGGGTCCATTGTGTTTAAAGGGATCTTTCCCCAGGGGAAAGCAGCTGAAGTGTCATGCAATTCCATTTCTTACCCCCAAGTTACAATTGTGCAGAGCTTTTCTTCCAGTTCATCTGAATGCCATCATGGTGTTTTGGTTAGGTACAAGGACAGTGTTTACTGTAATTTTATTGTTGATTTTTATAGCTGTGCCTCTTCAAGAGCTCAGTCATTAGACAGCTTACCAAGCACTGAATCAAACAGCTGTAGCCGCCTCTTCCTGAAGGGCTCTCCACATTCACAAAGTAGAGTACTCAATGTAAATACAGCAAGTGTCTTTGAGCTAATGACAGTGCATGGCTTGACCCAGGAATTGGCAGCAAATGTGGTGCTCTACCGTGAAAAAAAGGGTCCATTCCACACAATAGAAGATTTGATCAAGGTTAGTAAGATATGTTTTGAGTTATCAAATTTTCAGTTGTTTTCCATAATTTTGATGAAAAGTTAACAGTTATGAAAGTGTTGATCGTCTGTTATGAATTGAGAGGTTATTCGTGATTCCATGTTTATTTATTTATTAAAGATGACTGTGCATGTTTCAGCACCCGCAGTATTGAAAATGAATACAATAAAACTTGGTTATAGCAACATCGGTTTCTGCGACACCTTGTCTATTGCGTCAAATATTCAATGGTACGAACTAATTCCTCATAAAGCAACTGTTTTTATACCTTGCTTAGTACGACATGCACAAATGCATCAACCTCGTATGTAACGTCATTTTCATTCCTGAATTTCTCTGAGATCGTGGGAAAGTTCGATGTGTCTGCCCACCCTCACTTTCTCTACTTGCTGACGTGACTGTCCTGGAAGAATACGACCGCGGGCTGCAAGAGGAGCGTGGGTTTTATGCGAAAACAATGGTGTGGGGTGGGACTGCGTGAATAGTGCAAGAGGACGCGGCAGGTTGTTAACTGCATTCCTTTCCTAGAATCTCATCTAACAGGACCTCACATTGTCTACTTACCCTGTAGTGTTCCTGCCTAAACCCAGAGAAGTGCAGTAGCGAAAACATGGCAAAGGAAAGGAAAGTTTTAAGCATTGAAGAGAAAGTTAAAGTGATTCGTGAAATATTGTGTGTATTGTCAGTGAAAAGCGCTGTAATATGTCTTTGATATTACACATTTGGGCAATTCTACGTTAATGTTACGTTAGTCTGTACTTAACTACGTATTTCACTAAAAAATGCAACATTTTAACTCGGTTTTTGGTAGATTTTTATGTGACTAACATAAGGCTACTGTGGAAGTGCCCATTTCAGTTACAGTGACATTTGTTTATAACGACACTATTTTTAGGTCCCTTTGATGACTTTATAACCAAGTTCTCCTGTATTATGCCTGACAGTGGTAATGAGTTATGTAATGCGAAAGAGCTCCATTGGATGGTAATATGAATAGTGATAGGAGTATTTTTTTTTTGCATTTTATGCTGATTGTTATTGTGAACAGTTTATTTTTTGTATTGCCCAACTTGAACCATCATCCATGATACGTGGGAAAGATGCAGTTTTCAGAAATATTCATGTTTATGAGGTCTTTCATTGTTTTCTGTGCTCAGAGGCAGGAAGAAGGTTTTGCTGTAGAAACAGTTGTGCCACAGTTTTATCGTTTTTTGACAGTGTTAGGGGTCATGCAAAAATGCATGCAGCATTTCTGTAAATGAAACAATTAGTTCCAGCCAGAACTCATAAAACCTACTTTCTTAGTGTACAGACATCCGTCCAGTCCTATAAATCTTGTGTTGTTAGTGTTATGTTTATGGATTGTAAGTTTATAATTCAACAGCAAAATGCAATTTAACCGGCTGCTTGGCAGTAAGAGCTCATAAGCAGAAGGTTCAAATCATGCTCATTTCAGCATTTCCCTGCTGCAGCTTTATGTGTACGTAGAAGTTGCAAGCATGTCACAGGTCTGAGGGCCTTCTGCAGATCACATCGCCAGACCAAGGGAAGTGATGTGCTTCTTGTGTGAACTCTTTCTGTGTGTGTGACTGGGCCCACAGCACATTTGAAAAGCCCATATGCCAAAAAATCATAAGCAGCACCCACCCAGATTGTAGCAGATGCTAGAAAAGGTCTCTGCTGTTATGAACACATTCCTTGCACCTCCACGGAAAGTTCACATTCATGCATTGAAGTTTTTTTTCAGAAACAGAGCAAACTTAAAACTTGAATTTTGAATCTTTAAATGCAGTTTCCTGTGTAAGGCATCTAAGGCACTTTGGGGGAATATTCAAGCATAGCACTGATTTCATCCAGTTGCTCTTTAGTGAACACCTGGAATTTTGATTTGGTTCCTTTTTTGTTCAATGTGTCTCTGTTTAAATTTATTTAGATATTATAAGTAGTTTTATTTGGGATTCTAAGACCCTGAAACCAATGTGTTAATCTTTTTCTGGCTGCTGTACATGACACTTGTTTCAGCATGTAACTCTTGAATAGCATTTTGATACAAGATGTAACATCAGTGACTGAATGTGTAATACAGTAACAGAGGCTTGGGAGTATTGTAGACAGGCATGTAACACATAAGCTTATTTCATGGTTGCTGTTCAGTTTGTATTGGGATGATTCTGGAGAGAAATTTTAAGTGTATAGGCTAGTTGTGTGTCTGCTGTGCCATGAGTCTAAATGTGCATGACATGAGTAGCATTTGTTCTTCCCTCTTGACCAATTGAAGGATTTGTGGCAGGCCATCAGATAACCCCCTTTGTATACTGAATACCATCATCATGCTCTTGTTAATTATTGCTTTTGCCATATTAATCTTTCAAGGAAGTTTTTAGTTAGTAACAGAGTGTTTTTCCCAGGGGTAGAGTGTCGGAGGCATGTATCTTACCACTCTTCTCCATTCCATCTCGTCTTTCTTATCATTTTCCCTACCACTTATACCATGTTTTTAATCTTTATAAGCCATATGTTGAAATATTACATTGTTCAGAACAACATGATCAGTGCTAGACAAAGGGAGAAACTGAAAAAGACGTGCACTATCTGGAGAGTTGATGTTGGCATTTGATTAGAAACAAGCCTGAAAAAAATAGATATTTTGGCTCCTCAGTGTGGAATTACAAGAGGTACAATTCAGTATGTAACATCTTCACCATTACATATTTAGTAGTTATTACAATAACATTTACATTGTATCAAAATCTTCTGCTATCAGACTGTGAAGAGAGAATTTGATAGGTAGGCAAGTAGTTTCAGGAATTTGTGTGTAATGGTCTTGAGCCAGAGCTTACATTTTGCAGAAAATCCCCATGTTACCTATGAAGCATCTTTACACATTTTCATGAAATAAGGTAGTCTAGCAGTAATGCTGTAGACTTGTTTTAAGGAGGTGCTCAGTTTGAGCCATGACCATGACACCATGTAACCTGACTGCAGTTTTTCATTTTGTGTGGCTTTTCAGGAGGTGCTCAGTTTGAGTCATGACCATGACACCATGTAACCTGACTGCAGTTTTTCATTTTGTGTGGCTTTCCTTAACCCTTCCAGGCAAATTCCAGGATAGTACCTCTGTTATGCCATGACCACCTCCTTCCACATCCTTCCTGATTCATTATTCATTTATTCTAGAGCATTTGATGGTATATAATCTGCAGTACTGAAATCTTTGTAAAATTACCCACCACCATCACCTCCAAACATCCTTTTCTTTACTTGATCATAACTGCTGCCTTCTTCTCTGCAAATCATCCAGTCTGCTTAGGGTGTTGTATTTGCCAACTGACTTCAGTGGACAAGAGTCAGCTTACTTCATAGCATTATACTGGTGGAGAATATACATGATCAACTTTCAAGGAAGTGAGAAATAAACATAGGTTCAGGTGGTTCAGATGCAGGTGGATGGTTGCTATCCATATGAAAGGTCTGGAGTGATCCTTTCTCTTTTCACTACATACACAACGTTAATGTATTTGTATTGAGAATTGTTCTTTTTGTGACTTATATTCTATACACAGTTATCTTTTGGTGTCTTTGTGTCCTCACAAATTAATCATGTTTGATGAGTCACATTCCTGTGATTGGTGATTTTTGGGTTACTTGCATTGTGTATTCAACAGAATTAAATAAACATATACTGAACAGTTCTTAAAGAGTTTCTCAGTGACAGCCTTACAGCTGTTCACATTTTCCGTAGGGTCTCCTCTCCAGATCTCTCCCTCCAGACTTCCTGATAGTTTTGTAACCATCATGAAATTTCTTAGTTTCTCTAGTTGTTAGAAATATAATTCACTTTCCTCAACTTTTGCCAGAAATTTGCTTCATAGTTCCTATTTGAAAATATGAGGATGGAATTCCAAAAGGCAGCTTTGAGTCTTACAAGTATTTCTATGTATTTTCAAGGAGTGCTAGTGTAAGCAACATCTTAATTATCTTGGAACTTCATTTTACAATGAGGATGAGAATGATGATCTGCTAGGAGATTCCCACAGTATCTTGAATAGATGGAAGAACTACTTTTCTCAGCTATTGAATACCATCATTGATATTAGGCAGATAGAGATACAGCTGAGCTATTACTACCTGAGCCTACTCCTTTTGAGTTTGAAATTGCTATTGCAAAGTTGAAAAGTGAATTTCCAGGTAGTGATCAAATTTCAGCATAACTGAATAAAGCATGGGGTGAACATTAGGGTCTGAGATCCATAAACTCATTCTGTTTGGAGTAAGGAAGAATTGCCTGATCAGTGGAATGTGTCTTATTGCACCAATTTACAAGAAGGGCGATAACAGTGACTAATAATGATTCAGGAATATCACTGTTATGAACATCATACAAAATAATATCCAATATCCTTCAAGGTTAAGTCCATAAGTAGATGAAATTATTGGGGATCATCAGTGTGGATTTTGATGTAAGAGATCAACTACTGATCAGATTTTTTGCATTTGTCAGATACTGAAGAAAAAGTGGGAGTGTATTGAGACAGTACATCAACTATTCAGTGACTTCAAGGAAGTCTATGATTCAGTTGGGAGGGAAGTATTTTACAGTATTCTCATAGAGTTTGGGGTACCCATGAATCTAGTTATGCTGATTAAGATGTGTTCAGATTAAACCTAAATTAAAGTTCATATAGGTAAACATGTGTTTGATATTGTACAAAACAAGAAGATGCTTTGTTGTCATTTATTTTCAACTTTGCTTTAGCATATACAGTTCAGAAAGTCAAATAGAACTAGGTGGGACTGAAATTGAGACACATTAGCTGCTGGTCTACTATGATGATGTAAATGTGTAGGGAGATGACATAGGTACCATGAAGAAAAACACAGAAACTGTAAATGACGCTAGTAAGGAGGTTGGTCTAGAAGTAAACAAAGAGAAAACTAATTATATGTTGCTGTCCCATCACCAGAAGGCAATGAAAACTCCTAGCATAAAGATAGCCAGTGGATCCTTTGAAAATATGGCACAGTTCAGATATTTTGGAATGACAGTAACAAATCAAATTTTGATTCAGGATGAAACTAAGAGGAGACTGTAACAGGTAATGGTTGTTTCTGTTCAGTCCAGAATCCTATGTCTTCTCATCTGCTGTCTCGAAACATAAAAATTATGTTGTACAAAAGTATAATCTTGCCTGTTGTTTTGTATGGCTGTAAAACTTGGTCTCTGACTGTAAGGGAGGAACATAGACTGAGGGAGTTTGAGAGTGGGGTGCCGAGGAGAATATTTGGACCAAAGATGGATGAAATGATAGAGGGTTGAAGAAAACTGTGCACTGAAGATCTTCATAACTTGTACTATCCTTCAAGTATGGGTATATGAGATGGGCAGGGCATGTAGCATGCATGGGTAGAAGAGGAAGATTTGTAGGATTTTGGTGGAAAATCCAGAAGGAAATAGACCACGAGGAAGACTTAAATGTAGGTGGGTAGATAATAGTAAATGGATGTTACAGAGATAGGATGGGGTGGTATGGACTTAATTGATCTGGCTCAGGATAGGGGCCAGTGGAGGGCGCTTGTGAACACTGTACTGAACCTTCAGGTTATATCAAATGTTGGGAAATTCTTGGGTAGCTGAGTGACTGGTGGCTTCTCAAGAAGGGTTCAGCTTCATGAAGTTAGTTATGTGGTTTTCCTCCAGTTCTGTCTCATTGTGAACTTCCATATGCCTCTTACTATAGGTGTGATAAACCTTTTTGTGTCCGCTCTATGGATATCTTGTATTATCAGGGGGGGGGGGTGATGGTATTCAAATGTCAGTCACCCATAAGTAACAAGAGGCTACAGTGAATGAATTAATAACATCTAATTGTTTGAGCACAAAAATAGTGGAGATAGCTCAGTTGGTATAGTGACAGGCTACATGCTGGATGGTCTGGGTTCTACTCCTGGCAGTGCATGATTTTTCTTTTCTTCGTAGCATCCAGACAAACTCTGGGCCCCACCGAGCCTCCTATGCAGTGGGTGCCAGGGGCTCTTTCCCCCTGGGGGAGGGGGTAAAGCTGCAAGGGCATGAAACTGACCACTCACCTCCATCTATTGCCAGGGTCAAGAAAGGAGAAAGGTGTTTGTATAAGTGAGGCAATCCAAAAGTTTACGAAATTTGAATTTTGTGCGCGAATGATTATGAGTACATCGAAATACCGCTAGGTGTCTTGTCACACATCCTTCTTGAATCAGTGTGGCAAGCGGCGTCAAGTTGAGTGGTTGGGTTTATTGTTGAAGAACGTATTTCCATTGTTGTGTTTCCGTGAGTTTGCGGTTTTGCGATGGCTGACCTGAGAGAGCAGCATGTCTGTATAAAGTCTTGTTTCAAACTTGGAAAAACCGCTGCAGAAACGCACCAAATGTTGAAGCAAGCTTTTTGTGAAAACAGTTTAGGCCAGACACAAACTTACAACTGGTATAAGTGTTTTCAAAATGGCCGAACATTGACTGATGATGACGATCGTTCAGGATGGCCGTCAACGGGCAAAACACCAGAAAATGTCACGAAAGTTAGGGATCTGATTCTGCAAGATCGTAGACTGACCATCCAAGACCCCTGTAACACCTTGGGACTAAGTTAGGGTACATGTCAACAAATTTTGTCAGAGGAACTGAACATGAGGAGGATTGCGGCGAAGACTGTGCCACGACTGCTGCAAAATGAACAGAAGCAGCATCGCTTGGAAGTCTGCAGGGAACTTCAGCAACAGCTTCAAGAGGATCCAAACTTTCTTTCGAAGGTTGTCACTGGGGACGAAAGTTGGGTTTATGGCTATGACCCTGAAAGCAAGCAGCAATCGTTACGATGGAAGAGGCCTTCTTCACCTCGGCCAAAAAAAGCTCGACAAGTCACGAGCAACATTAAGTCCATGTTGATCTGTTTTTTTTATATTGACGGGATTGTTCATAAGGAGTACGTCCCTCCTGGTCAGACAGTCAATAAAGAGTTCTATCGCAATGTTCTAAGGCGTTTGAGGGAAAACGTGAGGAGAAAACGTCCAGAGAAGTGGCGCACGAAGGACTGGGTACTCCACCATGACAATGCACGATCGCATACGGCTTACATTGTTCAGGAATTTTTGGCTAAAAACAAGATGGCAGTTGTTCCCCACCCATCGTACTCGCCAGACTTAGCTCCATGCGACTTTTTTCTCTTTCCCAAGATGAAAATCAGATTTGATACAGTTGAGGAAATTGAAGCAGAAACGCAAACGGTAGTACACACCCTAACAAAAAAAGACTTCCAGGATGCATTTGAAAAGTGGCAGAAGCACTGGGATCGGTGTATGCGCTCCCAAGGGGACTACTTTGAAGGTGATGGTGCAGAATAAGATCTAGGTAAGATTTAATAGTTTTTATTAATATATTTCGGGAACTTTTGGATTGCACCACATACATTCACTCTCCAATATGCCAGGGACAACTTTACCTCTTTTTTTTATGAAGGGGCACAATGTGATATGAAAATTAGAGTGCAGTATGCAGCTAATGCTGGGAAATTAATGTAATAATATTTAATGAAGAAATGACAAATTCTGAACATTGCATAAATTTAATTTTGCTACTTTTTTAATCAGTTTACTGAAGAAAGAGAACCATATAGGTATTTCATATGGGACAGTGCCATGGTGTGCGCAGCTTATGATTTTAAGGATGAATTAACTGAAATTTTTGGTGAATAAATGATTAGTGATTGGTGATTAAATGATTAATCTGTGTGACTTATGTTGGTGGGGTGTACAAGAAATAAAGATTACTGTCTTCTGGAATGTACCATCATAGTATATCATTACTGATATTTTGGATGAGTATCTTACTTCCATCATATGGGTAGAAAAGCACATGAGAACTTCAAATCATGCATACTAGAAAATAAAGATAAATAATGTCCCCTGTTGTTTAAGATGAGCTTTATCTTGTTATTCAGGTAAAAGGGATCAGCCAGTGGCGTCTGGGAGCTTTACGCCCACATTTATTGGCAGGAAATGCTCCTGGTGTTACTCCAGCTGTTGGCTTAAGTAATGGTGCTGTGGGGTGTACAGTGTCTCAAAATTCATCTCAGCTTATTATGAATGGTAAGTTACCTGATGGGTATGTTTCATTTTGAATTGCCTAGGGGCCCAATACTCTATTTCTGGGAATCATCTTAAACCTTGTGATGTTAGACTGATAGATGCTAAGTTTTATCTCATCTGTTTTATGCTGTGTTAATCAGAATAATTATTTTACAGTAGCATTTAATGAGAGAGAGTGGGTCAGTAAAACCTTTGGTGAACTCTGCCTAATCTTTCAAGTGTGACACCCTTCATCCATTGCCCTCACTTGGCAATTTTTACTGCTGTTCCTCACATGCATCGTTCGATTGACTTAATCACAATTATGCTGTTGAAGGCATAGTTTGATGGACAAACTGTGATATCTCATATGCTTTGAGAGGTTAAATTTTGTTAAGGACTGAAATGAAACAGTTTAAAATGATGTGGTAAATTGGAATTTCTTAACCTTTGTACAAGAAGTTATATCATTGTGGTGCCAGAAATGTGATTTATGACACATTAAATTAAAAAACTGTGTATAGAAGAAAACTGTATCTTGTGTGACTATCATTGCACCTGTAAAAGACTCGCTGGTAGTTACCAGCTTTCTGTGTGTTTGTGTTTTCATAAGATCTTTCAAATACCTATGAAAGTAGGAAATGAGATGGTGAACTACATGCTTGGGTAGCAGGTTTTTCAGTATGATACATGAAAAATCATATAAATCCTGTAAAAGAAGGTTTCACCATAAATATCTTGGTGTTTGAGTTTCAGCTTCATTAGTAATTTTTGAATTGGCAAAAAAAGTGTTTAACAGAGTCTTTCTTAGCCAAGAAATACACTAGACTGTGCTGTGCTAACCAAGAAAAAGCTTAATGAAATGGGAACCAGATTAAAGCATTTGTATTGCAAATTCCTGACATGATTAGCTCACTTAGCACATATTTTGACGAGCACTGTGGAGGGTGACTGAAAGGTTGCATTTACTGCTGTATAAAATTGGACAGGTCCTAGGAACGGAAGAAGGTAGTTGCAAGGGAAAACGTGTTTGTAACTGGTATCTGTGGGCAGTATGTGACACTGTTATTTATCCAGAACTTCCATTCTTTAGTGATGAAGCTTGGTTTCATCTTGGTGGATGTATCAGTGCTCAGAACAGTGAGTACTGGAGCAATATTAATCTAAGATGCACTTTTGAAGTACCCCTTCATGATCCAAAGATAGATGTGTTATGTGTCATTACTGCTGCACAAATAGCAGACCGTGAATTCATAGTGGTACATCAGTGACATTCTATGGCCCTCTTTGAGAACTTTACAGAAGAAGAGAGGACATCTTGATATTTTATGTATGATGATGCTACAGGACACACTCCTGTTTATTCAGTTGCAGTAATGTTTTAAATGAGGTGTTAGAAGACAACGATAAGTTGCAAATTGTAGCCTGCAAGGTATCCGTACTTTAATTTCTGTGATTCTGTGTGTGTGTGTGTGGGGGGGGAGGGGGATGTATTAAAATAAACACCACATATTGGATGAACTTAAGCACAGCATTCTTGAAACAGTTACATCTGTCAGGGCCAGTGAATTCAAACTAATGTCAAGTTTCAGTGGACATAAAGTTTGTTTAGCAGCAAAAAGAGCCATCTTGAGTATCTCCTGTGGCAATAAGTTTATTTAAACAATTTATTTTCTGTATGAAATTTGTGTCTGTGTTTGTAATATGTGGCATTGTAGCAATGGTGCTAGACTATGTTTTGTTGGCAGATGACAGGTAAGGTTCTGGCTAACAGGCTGATGGTAGGAGAGTCAGGTGATTAACCCTTTTGAGAAAAACCATATTATTCCATGTAAATGCATTTGTTAAGTTCAGTAGTTTAGGGTTTTTTTGATTATTGTTTCTTTAAACAATGTATTTAATGTTTTAATTCCATTACAGTTCCAGAAGCTAGGAAAGTACCATCAGCAACACTGAAAAATGTATCAACTAATGGATACTTACCAGAAAAAGATATTTTTGAACTCTTATCAGCATACTCACAACGTCCTGTTTTAGAGGATGATTTTCATGGAGAACGTAATGGAAAGCCAGTTGTACGTATTGCCACATGGAATCTACAGGACTTTACAGTAGAGAAAGTACAAAACCCAGGTGTTATGGAAGTTATATGTCGAACAATTCTTGAAAATAGGTGAGTTTCAGTGTCATGTTTCTTAACATTAACTACTGTACATCCTGATCCAGATGAATAAAGTCCACATTTTTATACCATGTTCTTTCAAGATCTGATTTAATATCCAAATTGTAATGAACCCAGAGAAGTATTCAAGTATATTATCTTCCTGTCTATGCCTATGTTGTCCAAGTAGTCATTTCATTTCACATTTTCCATCAAATTATATATGCATTTCTCATCTCATCCGTTTTACTTGCCCTGCCTGTCTCATTCTCCTTGATTCCTGTTTAATACCTTATGGCTAAAGACATGGGTGTGAAAACCAGCAAAATAGAAAGTTGAATACTGTTTTAGAACTTGTTTCATTTGTTTTTTTGTTTATTTGCAGGTTTTCTGTGATTGCTGTCCAAGAAATTGTAGATGCTGCCTCTCTAAAACAGGTACAGAGCATAGTTCACTTAAGCTTTTGATTGGTTTGTTTTCTTGCTACAAGAATAAGGATTGTTTCTCATTTCAAAATTTTAATAAACATAATGAATTAATGAACTCCATAAAGCAGAGCCCTACTTGGGAATCTAATAGTTACTCAAGAAATTCCCTGCCTTTAGTACAGTGCAAGTATTCGTTACAGTGTTCAGCATAAGAATACCATCCAGTACAGAAAATAGTTTACTCAGTAAATGGTCAAATTTCCTTTTGTACTGAACCAGTTATTAAAAGATATAATATTCATGATTTGGTTACTAGTCATATACAACTTTTCAAAATTTAGTCATATATATCTACATCTAAAATATTAGAATGGTACAGCAATTTATAAATAAAATTAGAGATAAGCAGTGAATTTTCAGTGCTGCTTGTGTATTTTGCACATAGGTCTTCTATCTTTGTAACTGTCATGCTGCATTACTCCTCAGTAGACCCAGAAAGTTTGGAACTGGAAGATAATTTTGTTAAATAGCCAAGGATAGCATATGACAAATGTTCTAAAGGCCAGAAAAATACCGTGGGATGTCAATGTTTGTTCAGACACCCACTTGAATCTATAACAACAAATGTTCACTGCGCTCAGAGTGGGAAGCTTGCCTGAAGAGTGCTGGCAGTGAAGGTGAAAATTGCAGGCCATGAAAAGGGACGTTGTTCAACTGTGTCTTCCTTGTAGCAGCCCGGCAGTGACGGTGAAGATTGCAGGCCCTGAAAAGGGACATTTGTTCACCGGTGTCTTCTTTGTAGCAGCCCGGCTCTCCTTTACGGCCGCTCGATGGTTACGAACTGGCAGGATAGCTGTGGGTCTAGCGGGCTAGGTGCTATGATACGCACTGGTAGAGTCAGCTGCCTCATTGCGTGCGCTGATACTGGAGAGCTGAAGTCGTGTTGCTGCTTGTGCTTGCAGTGAAGTGTTTGATGGATGAAGACTGGTGCAAGACAGTTGGAGGCCTGCATTTTTATACCATTACTGCTGGGCGGAGCTGGCGATGGAGCTGCGATTATGAGCACTGATTGGCTAGTGCTTGTGTTTGTCCCCAGAGGGCTGGACTTCAAGCGATGTATAAATATTGCCTTGTGCTGTTATGAGGTGGGAGTTGTCTTTGTCTGTTAGACTGGTGAAGATGTGTGTTAGAATGTGGGAGGTTCACACATCACTCTCCCCCCTCATGGAGATTGATACTCATATGTTCAGGCGAGCAGGAAAATGGATGTGGCACCTGGACCATGTAGTTCTTGTAGGGGACTGTGGTTGGGGTTGCTGCGGCTGGTGGGTTTGTTGCTGTTCCCGCGGTAGGTCTCTTTTAGGATGTAGGCCAGCTTGACCCTGTTGGCTGACACAGTGACATGCCTACCGCGCATGAGGGTCGCAGCATCTTCTCTCTTCATGACAGGACCTGGTAGGGGTCACTGTAGGGTGGGCTCCAAAGCCCAGTGCATTGTGTCCTGCTGAAGGAAGGTGTGGGTGCACTTCTCGAGGTCAATGTGTATGAAAATAGCTGGGGAGGCATGGTGTGCTGCTGGGACTGGTCGGAGGCAGGCCATGTGCTGGTGGAGCTCAGTGATGAGGTGCGCTGGATCCACAGGGTTGTTAGCTGGAGTTGTGTTGCTGTTTGCACTTGCAGTGAAGCATATGACGGATGAAGACTGATGCAAGACAGTTGGAGGCCCACATTTTTATAGCATTATCGCTGGGCGGAGCTGGCGATGGAGCTGCGATTATGAGTGCTGATTGGCTAGTGCTTGTGTTTGTCTCCAGAGGGCTGGACTTCAAGTGATGTATAAATATTGCCTCATGCTGTTATGAGGTGGGAGTTGTCTGTTAGACTGGTGAAGTTGTGTGTTAGAATGTGGGAGGTTTCCACAATACTATATATGACTAAGCCGAATTGAAGTTAGGAAACATTTGTGTACTCTCCTTAGAGCCTTTATATTTACACATAATTATGTGTGCATGCCCATTTAAGAGTTAAATAGTCTGTCGGTATGTTAAAACATTGGTTGACAGACTGCATACATAATCAGGGAAAGGCATAGAATATGAACTAACATGAATAAATACTAAAGTGCAGGATGAAAGAATGTGAATGGCTTTGATTAATGGGAAAACTAGAATAACAAGCAGGGACTGCTGGGAAGAAATGGGAAATTGTTGGAGTGATAGGACAGTGTTTTTACAGTAAAAGAAGAAAAACAGTAGACTGGTATGTTTTTAAGTAAGATATATTGTTTGGCCTTTCACACTGAGAGGAATATTGTTTGGAAACAAAAGTGCTGAGGAAATTATTTGAACCTAAAAGAGAGGCTGAAACAGGAGAATGGAGAAAATTGCATAATTTTATATTCACCAGTGTTAATGATATGAAGAAAGATGAGATAAGTGGAACATGTGGCATATGTTGAATCTGAGAATTGTATACAATTTTATTCAGAACACCCAAAAGAAAGATGTAACTTGGGAGACTTTGGCATTTATGAGAGGATGGTATTAAAATAGACACTAAACAAATATGAAATATGAGTGTGGATTGAACTCAGTTGTCTCAGAATTTGTATCAGTGCCAGGGGAATTTCTTCACTAGCTGAGTGACTGTTTGCTTCTCAAGAAGGATTCTGCATGTCACGGTTGATTAAGAAATGTAGAGAGGTCAGATTTATAAAACAGGTATGGGCACTGTTAGAAAACTGAAAACAAACAAATGAAAAGGAACAAAGCTGGTTGGACGTAATGGGGAATAAGTAAAAGAGGAAACAAAGTAAAAGTGCTATGAACAGTGTTGATGTTTTTTAGACAGATATCTGAAGAGACTCATAAATATGAGACGTCTAGAATCTCAGTAAGCATTTACTTTTATTATTTCAATCAGTGGTAAGTACACCTATCCTTTTGATAAAAATTGATTTTATATGTACCTGTTTCATCAGAATAATTCCTGAATAACTGTTCTGGTACCTTATTGAGACACAGTGTGTAGACACGTACATGCATATACATATAAAATACAAACTAAAACAAGATGATGAAAGACAAAGTACTTACTGTCAGGGATAAGTAAGAAAAAATAGACTCAGAAAATGAATTTGAAAGTGTAATGCATAGACTACCCTTTCCTGATGCATGGTACAAAGAAGAAACAGTGATGTAAGATTTGAGGTTTTCACAGCGGTGACTATGAAGAATGTTGTCTTCTGGGACATGGTGCCTTGTAGATCTTGTATGAACTGACATTTCAGAGGAATGTATCGCCTCCATCTTCAGGGTAGAAAAATTCCCAAGTGAGGAGCCAGCAGCCATCTGCTCACACTGGTTCCTCGCTTGCGGATTTTTCTACCCAGAAGATGGAGGCCATACTTTCCTCCAAAATGTTGGTTCACACAAGATCTACACGGTGCCACATCCCAGAAGATCGCATTATTCAAGAAAAATCGACTTAAATCATCCCTATCCAGACATAAAATATGTAAATACTTAATGGTAACTGCTATTGTTCCTCCTTTCTCTCACAGGAATTAAAAGGGGTAAAGTTTGATAATGGGGACTCTTTCCACTGGGTTTTTTTACTTGGCTTTTTAATTAATTAACTCATGCTTTATTTAAAGCTGTGTAGTAATTTATTTCCTTTGCATTTTCTGTTAATGCGGATGTCTGGATCTGTAGATCTGTGATGAATTAAATTGTCCAACGTTACGCCGGGTGATAGACTGGAAGGAGAATGAGAGAGAATGGCAGTATGCATTGCCGCAAGTTTCCGACGCAGAGTACAAGGTCAGTTATTATTTCCAAAATGCAGGATATTTCAGAAGTGTTGGGTGTATTGTTGATATATAGTGTACATAGCAGGTAGGCACCCTGGTGTTGCATGTATCAGTACAGTGCTGAAATAGACGAAAAAAGAGCATAAGTGAGTTTCAGACAAACGGATATAAGATCAGTGATCAGGTTCTTGGGAGAAACACCTTACAGGTCTTAAGGTTAAGAGATGCTGGCACACCTCCTCATTGCCCAGACCTACTCCAATAGGAATATTTTATTTAGGTGAATGGAACACTTATTTGAATTTGCAGATATTTCATTAACAGCACAGCTATAATTTATCATCTGTCTTATTAGTTCAAGTATGTCATCAGCCTTGGTAGAATATGTTGTGTAAGGGACAGATATGGTCACGTTATTTATTTATGATTTGTTTAATTATCTTTTCAGTAGCTCAGACTGTATAGTGTCAAATGGCAGGGTGATTAGTGAGTAATGACTTGGAAAGATGTGGAAAGCAGACAAAGCTGAGAAATCTGTCAGTGTAGTCAGTGTCCTGACCAAGATTAAACTCTAGTATCATGTGAATACAAGTGAGAAATGTTGCTGCTTATCCACCTTGCTAGGTAATAATATTGCATGTCCTTGAATTCACATCATTCAAGTGACGTTATTAAGGTTTGCATTCTTTGAGATTCAGTTTTAATCATGAAATAACTCTGTTGGTTTATAATTTCATATTTTAAGTTTTTTTATTAACATCTGTCACAACACAAGAACAAAGCAGTCGATGTTTAACAGTATTTCGGCTTTGTTGCTGTGTTGTGATCGATTTTAATAAAGAAATGTATATATTTAACACAACAGGATTCATCCATTGAAAATTATTCTTTTAAGGTTTCTCGGAAGATATGTTTGTTATTGTAGGAATTTATGCTCATTGAAAAATAGTTGTCAGCTTGTAATATGATGTTGAGTATAGACAAAAAAGGCATTGCTATGATTTGATGTTAATAATGGGATAGGAAGACTTATAATAAAATGGTTGTAACATGTAGGATGAATGGAAAATTCCTTTGTCCCAAGAATATTGAAACAAAAGGATATGCATGGATCTCATGGAGAGAACATTTTATGTACTTCTGTTTTAAATATTTTAGAACAATGATGAGGATTATACTGGAAACCAGAACATGTTAAATAGCCAGAACTGTGACATTGGTGTATTGTATTTGTTTGTCACAGGCTTGGTCGTAGAAATATTCATACTGGGAATTTTTCTTTCTTTACTCCTTTCTTCTAAGAGAGAACTGAGGTACTATCTTAAAATTAATTAATGACCATCACCAGTCCTCAAAGCTCTACATCATCATCTAGTCTGTACCAGTGGTGTTAATTTATTTTGTGAAAACATAAATTCATAAATACTGCCAAGGAAGACAGAATTGTTATTGGATTGTAGTGAGACAGTTGGTCTGTGTTTGATATACATACACTTTCACGGATTTTGGTAATAAGACAAAGCCAAAGGATTGCTGGGTTGTCATGATTCTGCCCATAACATATAGAAGCAAAAAATCATTGGCTTCCCATCACGATGGCCCGGGTTTGATCCTGGTTCTGGTCAAGTGGGATTTGTGGTGGACAAAGTGGTGCTGGAGCAGGTTTTCTCTCGAGTACTTCGGTTTCCCCTGCCAATCTTCATTCCAGCAATTGCTCCACAATCACCCTCACCTATCATCTGGGGCTGGTACAATAGGCCAGAAGTGGCTGCAGTACAAGGGACTTAGTCCCACCCACTAGCAATAAAGAAAATAGTACTAATTAAGAAGTACTCCACTGGTTGGCAGTGGAAGATTATACCTGTGCTTCAGTCAGTATAAAATTGTCAGTGTTTGGAAAAAACAAATTTCCAGTGTTTATAGCATGGATATTTGCTGAAATCATTAAGTATACAGTGGGTGGGGGGTGATCTGTGGAAACTGTAACTGGGATGGGAACAGTTTATTTCTAAAGTTCCACCTGTTTATTGTATCTGAGACCAGAATAATTTGTGGCTGTGCATTAATACAAGCCAAGAAAATGGAATGTGTGGTGGTAATATCAGAACAGTAACTGTTAGTGGAATTTATAAAGTGTCTGCCTATTTTTATTTTGTGTCTGAAGCTGAATTATTCATGTGACTGTTGTGGTGGGTTATGTTGTGGCTGAAAGAAAGGTATCTCTGTTGTTTAGTGGTGAATTATATGTATAATGGTGATTATGATGTTCTGCTGACAATTGAAGAATGAGAGAAGTTGGTTATTTTTGATAAAATTTGTGTATTGTAAGTAGCCCTTTCTGAAAATATCTCTAGACAACAGGACCGCTTTGTGTATGTTGTTACTGTGTAAGTATAGTATTTCAGAAATTGTGTTACTGAGATTTGGTATTTTTGGCTAAGTTTTTCTTTTCTTTGAATAATTTCACATTGTAATGTGAACAGACTTTGTGCTGGTGTCATGAACGTAATTATTAAACCTTAAAAAATGTGGCAGAGTTCAATATGTGGGCACAACAGTAAAAGTAAAGTAAACTTATCCCTGTAACAGGCTGTGGAGGCCCATTGGATTGTGAGATGTTGAGGTTCTCACATTTTCTAGACAGTCAGCTCATAGATGGCGGCAAGGTTGTCAGCCTTACGCGCCGGCCACCCATTACCCCCAAGAACATTCCGAGAATATTCCTGGTACTCATTTCTCTTAGAGGCTCAGTCGACCCCAGGGCCATAATGCGGCTGGAAGGATTGGGTAAATTGAAAAAAATGCAATGACATTGCGATTCGATCCCACAACCTTTTGGCTTGTAGCATAGTGCCTCAACCAATTACACTACCGTGTGCCACAACAGTAACAAATCAAAAATACATTCATGATTAAATTAAAGCAGCTCAATCTTTGCCTTCTAGGAATATGGGATTTTAAGTATTATGGAGATAATGATATTAGTAATGATAAAATACAGTGCTTAGCCAGCTGGACTGTTTGCATGTGTTGTTGCATCAGTGAAACACAGCCCGTAGGGGTGGGGGGAAGAGAGAGAGAGAGTGTGTGTGTGTGTGTGTGTGTAACAGGAGGGTGGAAAGAGTTAAATTTTACATTTCAGGATTTCACAGTTTACACTTGTCACCAGATATTTAGATGCTTGATTCAAGGAGGATAGGGTAGGATGGGCAGGACCTGTAATGCGTGGCAAAGATTAGGTGTACATACACAATTTTAGGCAAAAAACCTGAAGGGACAAAATCTAGCAATGGGTAATAGAATAGTATTAACACATTCACTCCCACATCCAACCAGTGCTTGGACAAGTCTTTCCATATGTAGATTACTGTATTTAACTTAGGTCAGACAGCCATCCATGCAGACAGATTTCCTGTCTGTCATAGTTTATGAGTAGATTGTTTCTGGATTTTGCTGGCCAATGAATGCATTAGAAGTACCCTGATATTTAAAAACCCTTTGTTTGGTGTTTAAATTGCCCACTGAGAGGCTGGTAGCAAACATGTTGAGATGGATATTAAATAAGATGTAAAGTGGACTGGATTCAACCTTCTAAGGATGGGGGGCCATTTGTGGGCTGTTGTGAACACAGTTATGAACGTTCTGGTTTCATGAAAGGTAAGAAATTTCTTCACACTCTGGGCTGTCAGCTTCTGAAGAGGAACTCTGATCCATAGGATTAGTTTTATGTTATTAAAACTTGGACAGATATGTTTTAAGCTCATATTTTTGCTTATGGCTTACTTTCTAGGGTTATCCTGGTCTTGGCTTTTTGTATGACTCCAGTTGTAAAGTGGAACTAACAGCAATGAAGCAGCTTTGTGTCACAGGACCACTGCCTAATTCTGCACCTAAAGTTGAAGCAGTTCTTGCAGCATTTGAGGTTAGATTGAACTACACATTGTACAATATCTTATGGCCAAAGATGTCTTTAGCTACCTTGTTTTCATTGCAGTGTGAGAGAGATGATTGGAAGAAATATAAAATTCTGTTTCAGATAGTTCTGAACATTCTGTAGGTAGGGTGAGGAGGGGGGGGGGCAACTTTTGGAACTGATTTGTGAAAACAAATATTTTTGTTCTGTCATTTTGCCATTTTCTTTCTGATTTATCCTCTAGGAAAGGAGGTGTGAAATCTGCAGCAGTGCTCAATAAATTATCAGGGATTTGAACACAGGAACATTTTTTAGATTTTTGATTTTTTCAAATTAACCCATGAATGTTTTTAGAGTATTGATTTCTTGTGATGTTCTATTCAGAAGTGCTGTATGAAGTGAAAAATAGCTTGATACGACACTTGCAATTTATTGTATTTTAATTTTTTTAATGTGAAGATTGCCAGCATGGTTGTGCAGTATCCTCATCAAAATCTGAGTGCAGCCTCAACTACAGTCAGCATACAAGACTTTTAAAAGAATCACTGTATTATAACATAAAACCAGTAAAAACAGAGAGGGTCCATTACCATATGGTGACACATGGTCTGTAAAGATGAATTTTGTATGTTATGGTATCTTATGATTGAAGATTGATGTAATGGTTTTGTTTCATTTCTTAGGTTGAAGATTTAAGAATATCATTGTTAAATATGCAAATACAGAAAAGTGATATTTATAACATAGAGGATATTTTGCAAGGCCATGTGAAGCAGACAGATATGCTCATCATTCTTGGTGACTTCACTGGGCTATCACAAAACAAAGGTATCAGATTTTTTATTGTGAAGGGTTGTGATAGTGATGTATAACACTTGGGATTACTGGCTTTTTGGACTTTGTACATCACCTGGTATTCTAAAGAACAGCATTTTGGAAACTGGATCTGTTTCCATCCCCAGGTGAAATGGTGGGAGGCACCTGTTATGTTGGGTCAGTTAGAACTTGCTACCCACAATCACTGGTCAGCCTATATCAGTATAACCACAACTGCATATACACCAGAGATCAGGTTTTATTACTGGAAGATAATAGGAAAATGTATAATAAAAATGGTGGAAATGCATGTATAGACCTGAACCTGAGATGGAGAACGGAGTGAATAAATGCGTCAAGCCAAACCAGCAACCAGATATATGTGCATGAATGCATATGAATAATCTGAAGATTTTCATGTTATTACAATGCACACCTATTCTACCATTCAGTCTTCTAAGTTCCCAGAACACAGACCTCTCACAGTCCAAGCCCTTAGATGCGTAATAGTGCAAAACACTGAATTCATTCTGCCCTGTTCCCTTTGTTGCTCTATGATTTTCTGCAGTATGGAACATGGGTTTGTGTAGCAAGGTTAGCTGATAACAGAATTTGTTGGAACTTTATGCAGATCAGTTTTCTGATGTCTCTTATTTTGACAGCACTGAAACAAAGACCTGGACACTGATGTAGCTACCACCAGATCAGTTAGATGGTTGTGACTTCATCCAGTTTTAGCAAGTGACAGTGAATCACACAACACAAAGATGAAAGTTTTTCATCTGAAACCAATATTCATTCTGATGATGAATTAGAATGTGTTTGACATAAAACATAAAGTGAGTGATGAGCAAGTTCTCAGAACCGCAATATTAAATGTACTTATTGATATCCCTGATAGTGTTACTGAAGTTGCCAGTGCTGTAATTGGTGATGAAGTTCTGCAACTTTTTACAGATCAGTTTAATCTCCATCACAGACAGAAAACTCACCTGGGAAAAATGTCACCTAAAACACTGAAGTGGTCTAACATCACTACTTCGTAAACGAAAAAGTTTTTAGGCCTGATAATTTTGATGGGAGAAGTTATAAAACATAATATTGTCGTGTGTTAGTGACTACATACAGGGTTTAATGGATGCTTATAACTCATAACTACAAATGATTATAGCAGTCTCACAAATTTACACTACAAATAACTACAACTACAGCACACACAGAGTCTTCTGTCTGTTATTCTGTCATCACTAGTTGTTGCTAGGTAATGGCTCTTAACAACAGAGGTTCTTCACAGCCAACCACAAACTGCCACTGATCACTTGCAACTCACAGCTGACTAACTTGTGACTCCAACCCATTTGAGATTTCATTACGATCCTGTTCTTTACCCTCTACCTTGTTTAATTTCTTGAGATTGAACCTGTCCGTATGAAATGTGTGCATTGTTTGTTTACTCACTGCCAGTCTCTCCCTAACTTTTGCCATCACCAGATAGTGGTCAGTATCACAATCTGTTGCACCGAATGATTGGACATCAGTACACTTGAATACCATTTCCTGTCTATTAAGATATGGTCGGTTTGATTATTAGTCTTTCCAGCAGATGTTCAGATAAATTTATGAATGTTATGAAGCAGGTACATTGTACGTTTGACAGATTTTTGTATGTGGTGAAGTTTACTGCTGTAACTCCATTATCATCACTAATTTTGTGGAAATTCTCATTCCCAGTCTTTGGTTTGAAAATGTCTTCCCAACCTACTTTGGCATTGAAATCTCCTAAAAAATGTTCATATGGTATTAGGGTATTTATCGAATACATGTTCTAGTTCCTCAAAGAAGCTGTCCTTAATGTCATCAATTTTATCCTGTTGGGTCATGAACATTCAGAATATCACACCAGTGCCCTCTTAGTATTATATACGACATCCTATCACTAACAGACTCTGCCTTCTTAAATGCTGATATGATTCTCTTACATACAAAAAAACCTCCACCTAATTCACGATTATCATTCTTTTTTCCACAGAAAAATGTATATTTGCCTGCTGGTTTGGTGCTACTTCTTTACCATGTGACCTGTACTCCCAGTAAATCTGACTTACATTTTGATATTTCTTTCACAACTATAATGAGTGAACCTTCCCACTACACACTTCTTACATTCCACATACCAAATCTCATGTCCATTCTAAGTGACTAATAATTGATCACATATAGAATTCCACTTAATACAAGTCACTAATACTGTGTTGCATTTACAGAACTATGTGTGATGAAAATCTTTTGTTATGCACTGATAAAGACAGATCACTAGAACATGTCATTTTCTGGCACCTTACTCATCAGCATTACATACTGTATAGAATCTCAGCTTCTTGCAGCAGAGTGCCATGGTTATACATTAGAGTAACCAACTTAAAATGGATTTTTATAAAGAAAACATTGCATAAATCAAACACATAACTGCAGTCTTAAAGTAAACTGATTCTCAGAAACAGTTTTACAGAGAACTACTGAATCATATAATCATGTGATCCAGCATGCCAAAGATTGCCAGTATTTCCAGTTGCTGTCCAGAAACATAGATTCATTTATTTGTCAGACTTTGTACATTTGTGACTAGTAATTGAACTTAGTTTATTACAGCTTTAATCATACCAAATAAGTCGGATCAAACTTAGAGGAGTTCGATTTTGTCACTTAGATTCTGCAGTAACATAGAACTCTCATACAGTAATTCTTGTAATTGGAATAATGTCAGCATGTTTGTTTTAATGTATTGTATGAAACGTAAATGTGAGCTTCTAAATATATGTCCTGCATAAATTTAATGGTGCTAATTTCTGTATGGAAGAAAGTAATTTTATCTAAATGCTTTTCAGGAGAAAATGAAATAGCTAGGTCACAGTATAAGAGTGTCATTCCAACCTCTTTGAACTCTTATGGCTGTAGCAGTGACCCCCAGGCATGCCATTACTCAGATAACATATTTCTCAACTCAGAAACCCAGCTGCAGTTCACAGGTAATATATTACTTAATAGGTAAGGAGAAAAATAAACCTGGGTCATTTAGATTTCTGAAATTAACGTCTTTAGGGTTGTCAGATTGAAACAGTTGTGCTGTAAAGATCTATTTTTGTCATGTTGAAGTTGGATACATGATTTCACTGAAATGGTGATGATATTATTATTATTATTATTATTATTATTATTATTATTGGAGGGGGTGGGTTTCCCCATGCACCGCGACCAGTGGTCTATTGTACGTCCCCCAGTGATATTCTACCAGGCTCTATACCCTACCGATACTGGTGCGTGCCATCAGTCCAGACTCAGCCAGCGAGTTCAGCCTCTACTGGCTCAGCGGTATCTCTTGATGCTTCCCCCATCTACCAGAGGCGTTAGAGACTACTGTTGGGCGGGAAATGTCCTGAATTTCGCTCAGTGGTCCCCTTGGGACATGAGGTACTTTTACGTGCCGTAAAGCTATGACACGGGACCCACGGCTTAAAGTCCCTCCCGGAGGACTTGTTCCCTGAATTTTTCCGCCCTTAAAAATTCCACGACCTCCGCCGGGTTTGAACCTGCGTACCTTGAGTCATGAGGTGGGAACGTTACCCCTAGACTACGGAGGCCGCTGAAATGGTGATAAATGTCAGGTTCACAAAAATGTCAAGTGAATGAAATAAAAGATATAGTGATTATGCCTGGCTGTCTCTCAGTAAAACATAGGTCAGTTAATTTAAAAAAAATTAAAATTCAAGTAGCAGTTCAGGTCTATAAATGTACATGTGTATGCCAGTGAAATATTTTGAATACTACTAGCTCATCACACACAACTTTTGATATTCATTCATTTCCTTTATTTTCCATATATCTATACAGGCAAAAAACCTAAGATGTGGAAATAGTCCCTTTGATTAATAGATGTATACATGTAATAAATTACATAAGTCACACAACTAAAATAATAACAATAATAATAATACACACACTAGTCAAGTAACATAGGCAATAGAAAAAAAAGCAAAAAAAGAGGCTTATTACAATTGTAATTACTAAACATAATTTAAAAAGTGCATTACTATAAAAACTTAGAATTAATACAATTTCACTCAGATTACCCAAATAATTAAATGCTTTCTTTATTTCATTTTCCCATAAATCAAAAAACATTGATACAGGACTCGTTATATACATACATACACACCCTCCACTTTCCATAAACATCTATACAGGGAACAGACCCAGGATGTGGAAATAGTCATCAAACACATATACAAAGTAACACAAACCACACAACCACGATCACCCACATTAACTGTCTAACACATACAACAATACGAGGCAAAAGGATAATATCCTGATTAACAGACATAAGTCACTAGTAACCACAATACAACCCCTCACATCTCCCATACTAACTATATTAAAATGTGACGTTAAGCATTCAAATTTATGTACATTTGTAATTTAATGCATAAAAAGAGTTAGCATGTAAAAATCTTTTTAGGGCACATTCAAAGGATTTCTGGTTATTAGATAATTGTTTCAGCTCTTTAGGCAGATGATTGAAGATTTTTATACCAGAATAATATGCACCCTTTTCAACTTTAGTAAGAGAAGTACCAAGGGGAAATAGGTTAACATTCTGTCTGGTACCAATATTATGAACCTCCGTATTTCTTGTAAACAAATGCATGTTATTTATAGTGTGTTGCATTAAGGAATATATGTATTGCGAATACAAAGGCAGAATTTTCATTTCCTTGAAAGAGTCTCTACATGAATCTCTTTTCTTTAATCCCATCATAATCCTTATAACTTTCTTCTGGATCATAAAAAGTCTTGTCATGTGTGAAGAACTGCCCCAGATGATAATTCCATATGTCATCATAGAATGTATATAAGCAAAATAAATCATTCTTAAGCTACTTAATGATATCATAGGCTTAACTGTTCTCATGATAAAGCAAGACGAACTCAATTTAGTAACAAGGTAATCAATATGATTCTTCAAACACATGTAACATACCTGTGAGTAACAGAAACTCAGGAACAATATCAGTTTCATTACCTGTACAGGTAACAGAGTATGAATTTGCTGGTGCTAGAATAGCATAAAAATACAAAATAGTTAGATTTATGACTAATTTAGTTTTGGGGAACTGTTAAGCACTGGTTCTGTAATAAGTGGTGGATTTAAGGTTCATAGGGCTCCTAGTTGGAAGGACAGTTGGGGTCCTATGTGGTGTAGCTGAAATAATGTGTACAATTATAAAAATATTTTTTGAAACCATAGCTAAAAATATAACAGTGCATTTATAGGAAAGTATGAACATCTCCATAAAGAAAGTAGCCATTCCTCAAATGGAGTATTAAGTACATAAATTGACAGAAGTGTTACCTTGAGCGAGACCTGTTGATTCAGTTATAATTTAATTCCATTCTTTAAACTCAAGTTGTATTTAACATTGAAGAGGGAACAAGAAACTTTAGCACTTCTTTGAATGATTTTTACACTCCTTGCCACAAAGCCTATGATTAAAAATCTATTTAATAAGAATAACAAGAATTTCAAGACATATTTTTTTATTTGTTCTAGGTGTTCTAGACACAAAGCAAAAATGTATCCCTTAAAATAAGTATCAACTAGAGAAAATCCATGCAGTGCATTTTTTTGGGGCTTACATGTGTTCTTCACTGTCAACTGCAGTGTAAGCTGGAGAATGTGTTTCCTTCTGTACCCTCGCAACAGTACATATGACTGGCATGTCCCTAGCACTATTGTGCTGACTGACCCATACCCACTGTTAGAATAATCTTAAGACATCTGGATGAAAGCAAATTTGCTATTTTGAAATGTATTGCTGAAAACAGTGAATCATACTTAAGCTGCCAACAGTCATTCCACAATTAAAAACAGTGCGCTGGAGGCACTTCCATTAAAAATATGTGCAGCAATCAAATTCTGAGACTACCTAATTTTAAGACATCCATGCTGTATAATTAATGCAAAATGAATTGCTTTTTATGGATTTTATGTGGTAAGCAACATATACAGAATTTTGCCTGCTGTTGGTTGTTCAGTTTTGGAGCATTCTCATAATTTTTTGTGCATCACTCTCAGTGTTTTGTGCACCACTGTGGAATGTGCCACCTAGTTGGGGAACCAGTGCATTAAACAATATTGTTGACAAATGATGTATAGTTCACTTGCAGATAAAACTATGGAGTTTCAGGTAAGAGGAGAGTTGCAGTTGACACATCATGTCCATTTATATTTACCATTGAACTAATAAGTGTTGGTAAATAGGAAGTTGCAGTATAATTAATAAAATAAAGAATTTTCCTTCTAGTGTTTTATGGGCCCTTATGTTACTAAATAGAAGAACTCCCATTTCCCCCGCAGTTTATGTGTGTGTGATTGATTATCTTACATTAGGAGTGAGTGGCGTGGTTCGACAGGGTTTGAATCACCTTGCTATTCCTCAAGGCTGGATGTGGGGAGGTTCAGCAAGTGAGCACTGCCCAGTGTGGTGTGAAGTGTACACAGAACCAGTTCTTGCAGAGAAAGTACTTCCGAATGGAACACATCATCCAGAGTGACACCATTATGTGGTATGGTGTTCATTTGTTCTAGTGCATTGTCTCCAGCTTCAAGTCCAACAGGAATGTGATAACATACCATGGTCAGCATGCTGAATGATTTTATTGAAATTATCAATTTCAGCAAGAAAAATTAATGTTGGGATTTCTTTTTTGAAGCTGTACAAAACATTTTTATTGTATGTGGCATGTACTTGAAATTGTTATTTATGTTATGAGAAACTAAGTGAAGTTAACATACTATGGAAACACTTTGCTAGTAATATTGTACTGACGATTTTCCTATGAAGTTGTTATATAAATGAAAGTTAATGAAGGCAGACTTATTTATTTTTTTAAAGATGTTTTAATACTTCCAATAATGACTTTTATCGAGTACTGGTATACAAGTAGCTGTTGCTCAGTATTTGAGCTGTTATTGGATGTTTTACTGAAAAGAAAATTTGAATGAATAGGAATGAGTGGGAAGGAATTTCCCAATCTGTGGTCTATCTATTGCTTTAAATTTTGTACTTAGTGCACTAGAACAATGAGGATTGATATAAATATAGTTTGGTTTATAATTATAAAGGAAATTGTTAGAAACTATTACTTTGTAAAACTTGGAGAAAGATGCAGAATCCTCGGTTTTTCTTATGTTTACTCATGAAACATGTATATAATTGTAAGAGGAGTCACAAAACTGAATTACCACACATATCAGTAATGACAGGTTGGTCTTTTATTGTAAATAGTAGGTTTTGCTAATTGTAATCTTTGTGTCATGCTGGTAGTATATTTGTATAAAATGGGAAACATAATCCCATTCCTTTTGATAACTATTCCTTTCAGATTTGTTATATGCTCATATACACAACCATTCATACAGGAGATTTTCCATCCCTTTTGTATTTTATATGTTAAAATAAAGTTTATAGCATTAAGCTGTATGCCTCTATGCTCTAAATACCAAGAATACAGGCTCTTTCTTGTCAACAGTGAAGAATAGCCTGCTTACTATAAAAGGAAGATATTATCACATGATGGAGTGACTGTCGATGGGGTTTGGATTGGTAATCAGATTTACTGAACTCTACAATTCATAACTGGAAGTAAGGATCATACTGTCACTCTTATACACACTTCACAAATCACTATAGGACACACCAGGTCTTCTCAGTATGTTACAGTCTTCACTAGCTATTGCTTACTAGCAGCTTCCAGCAGCAAACATTCCCAAACTGTCCCTTGCCTGAGCTACCAGCTTCTCACAGGAGTGGCTCACAACAGCTGAACCCCAGCAGTTATCTGACTGCTAACTTGTATTGCTTATAACATCTTGGCGTGGACTGCATAGAAAACACCATTCCTCTGTTGCAGTGCAGTTGTTGCTTAGTGATGACATGACATATTCCATTGTTGTGTGCATAGGCATCAGTACGGACTGCACAGAAAACATTCCTGTGTTGTTTACAAACTGCTGCCTAGTAATGACTGGCTGTTGTGACCACAGTTCTTGCTTTGAGCAGATATGGCACAGTACCATGCTAAGGTACTTCTAACATCAAATCTAAGCAAGACTGAAAGTCACTGGGTGTGTGAAACACTGAGACAGGAAGAGAAATTGACGTTTCATTCTTATTGTGAAATTTTGTTATACTGCTATAAAAACATGGAGCTGAACAGATGGTTCCAAGATAAATAAGGGCACTGGAGCTGGTGTGTACTGCTATGGCACGAGGCGGAAACTTAGTTTCAGCCTTGGGCAGTACATGACAGTATTCCAGGCAGAAGTACGAGGAGCGTTCCATATATAATTCCTATATTTTTTAATGAAAACTACAACAGATACAGAAAGCATAATAACGCAGTTAAATAGAGCAAGATTTCAGCTACTTACAATTATTTTTCCACATAATCACCGCCATTCGTTACACACTTTTGCCAGCGATAAACAAAAGCCTTTATGCTGTGCCCGTAAAAGTCTGCACCAGCAGAGGCTAGCCACTTTCTTACAGCTGCAATGACAGCATTATTGTCTGGAAAGTGTTGCCCACGTAGTCCATCTTTCTTAGGCCCAAAGAGATGGAAGTCTGAAGGTGCTAAACCGGGGCTATAAGGTGGATGTGGTAGGAAGGTCCAGCCAAACTTTGCAATGTGCGCGGTGGTCACCAAACTGGTATGGGGTCTAGTGTTATCATGTTGCAAGTGAAAGGTTGTCTGCTTCTCTGGCTTGACTTGGGAAATGCAGGCTTTCAGCTTAGTCAGCATCGTCTTGTAGCGTTCAGAATTGACAGTCTCACCAGGCTCGAGGAAATCCAACAAAATCACCCCCCGCCTATCCCAAA